CTAGAGTTTGCTAAGGGAAGGTACTGAGCCGCTGGGGGAAGAAAGAGAGGGTCTGGCAGCCTGGCTTCCGGAAGAATCATGACCTGCTGTCTGCAGGGGAAACCGCGGGCATTCTTACCTGGCTAAGCTTTTCACAGAGAATCCTGAAGAATTTGAACCACAGCTGGAACGAGGCACCACAGAGGTGCAGCCGGACAGGCAGGAAGATGATGAGATGAGAGAAGAAGAGAGAGATGGACTCAGAGATCCTGACTAGAACAGGCCAAGATAGGGAGGGAGGCAGATAAGAAAGGACACCAGACGGCTGAAGCTGTGGCTTGCTGGTAGATCGCTTATTTACTACGCATGAAACCCTGGGTCTGATTCCCAGCACCGTGACATAGGAAAAAAAAAAAAAAAAAAAAAAAAAAAGGAAGGATAAAAAGGAAAAGGAACAAAAGGTGGAGTGAGAAATGGGTGGGAAAGGAAGAACACACGAGAAGGCAAGGCAGACAGACAGACAGACAGACAGCAGAGAAGCACGATCAGGGCAGATCTTGCTGAAAACCAAGAGGCAAGATAAAACCAAACCAAGGGGAGCAGGCATCCACAGGAGGAGAAGGAAGGGCAGTGTGTGAGGGAAGGGGTGTCTGGTGTTCCCTGCGGAACCCCTGCCAGGGAACTTCCCAGGCTGGCAGAAAAGCTCCCTAGCAGATCCCTGACTGACCTGAACCCCACTCCCAGGGAAGGCAGTCTCCTTCTAGATGGAAACAAGTCTGGTGAGGCTGGAGAGCCCCCACCCACAACTCCCTCTTACCTGGGCTGGAGAAGTCTCTGATGGCTCTCAAAGCTCCAGCTCCTTTATATCCTGTTTTGTGTGCCTGCTGCCTAAATTTGGAGTCCATCTGGAGGGACCCTCCCCGCCACTTCTCTCCTGGCTCCTCCCCCTTTGATCCCTTGGCTCTGGAGGTGACAGGAGGACAGCAGGGCCCCAAGGTTTGCCCATGAAAGGTCTGTTGCCCTAGCCCCTCTGGCTCCAGGGCCTTTTTTTAGTCCTTGGGCACATTCCTCCTCCCCAAAGGGCCGATGGGCAGAAGGAGAGACAAGACTGTCGCACACCACCTCCCCTACCCACATGGCCCTTACCTCAGTTATTTTTAATCTGAAGGGTGAATTGAGCACACTGGGTGAGGGTCACCTTCTCTTACAGGCCTAATATTTATCCTCTGCCTTCGACTCACAGGCTCCCTCCCTTCCCCTTTCCACCCTGGTTATCTGCACAGTTTCAGGCTGAGGGGTATCTCCTACCCTCTCAGACCTGGAGCTCCACAGTGCTAGATCTCAGAGTCAAAGTCAAGATGTCCGGGGGTGGCGGGGGTGGGGGGATCCATTGCTCAGGTGCATGACTCCATTTCCCTTTGTTAGGAATAGAATTCTCTCCCTCTGTCTTCGTCTCTCTCCTTAATCTGTTCAGATGCTGTCTACGGTCTCTGTTGCCTATGTCTCTAGACAGGTATCCTCCAAAGGCCTTGCTACCTCCGTTTGGGGACACATACAGTCTTCATCCTATTCTCAATTCTTCCCAACACGCAGGCCATCATCCAATCTCTTTAAACCATAGGAGGGATTCACCCCACTCTGCCTTGGGCAATTTACACACAAACCTAAAGTCTAGTAGCTTCCCATACAGAATCGAACAGCTGCACATCCACGCCTATTTTCAGCCAATCCCCCCCCACACACACACACAAAACTTCACACATTAACCCAGTTAAGCTTGCAGATCTTCTTTTTTGCTTCTACACATGCCAGTGCATATATCTGCACACCCATGGTTTGGACACATAAGTTTTTTCTCTCCCTCTGCAACTCTCCACTCCTGATGGGAGATGGGAGGGTGGAAAGGCCAGAGGTGTTAATCCTGGGGCTCAGGGAGAAGGGGTGTAAGTGGGGGGTTGCTCCCTTCCGCCTCTCCAGGCTGCCAGAGGATGCAGGTGCTGCTTGGGATGGCTGGCAGGGGCGCCTGGCAGGCCCAGGGATTTATACCAATTGGCCCCAGGCTCTGAATTCCATGGGTGGGGGCTCTGCAGACTTCCCTGTGCCCAGGTAGAACTCTGGTGCCCCTTTCTAACCTCCTGGGGCTTACACTCACATGCCCTTCTTTGTGGCACCCTCAAGCACCCAGGCCCTAGAGGCACTCCCTGTCCTTCAGGGCTGCCATTTCTCAGAGACCGTAGGTGTTAGGTCTTTAGCAGGTTATGTCTGTTACAACTAAGCAGACATTGTGTTCAGGCGACAAAGCCGGACTCCCCTGCTCTGGCTTTCCCCTACACCCTCACACCCAGGAACACCCGCCCAGCTCCCAGCTTCCACCCTATCGACTGTCACCTCTCAATATAGCTCCAGAGTGTGGAGGTGGCTAGGACACACAGCGGTCAGTTTCTCTGGGTAGGGCACTCTCAGTCAGTGATGTGGCATCCTCCCAAGGTCACCAGCCCCTAGGACAGTTCACTGCCCCATCGTGGTGGGCTCAGGGACATACACTTCTCTCCAGGGGTCTTAGAGCTTGTACACAGTGCTCTTGAAGGGACCTGAGCCAACCCTGCATTCCCATCTGAAGGCTACTATGCCAAGTGATTGTTCTCCGACAATGCAAGCCACCTGTCTGCAGCTGGGTCACCGCAGGTCACTTGAGGCCCCTGTGCTGCATGGTTAGCCTATGGCCTAATATGTCACTGCCTGGTTTCAAGGTCCTGAGGACGTGATAAGGGACTGAGAACATTGGGCCAGCCTGGGTCAGGTCCAAGTGACAAAGACCAGGCTCTGTCCTCAGGGAACCCTGCGTGCCAAGCAGGCCAAACTTGGTATAGGTAGTGGGGGCTCACGGGAGATTGTGGGCACGGAGTTCCCATTGTCTCCTATGGAAGATTCGACAAGGAAAGAGTTAACTCAGTTCTGGGCCCTCTTGTGCGGCCTGGTTTGCCCTCTTCTTCCTTTCCTAGGCCCCCTTCTCTCCTCTGGCTCTCACATACTCTTCTCAGCTGCCTCCCAAACCAGCCCAACAGTCTGAGGAAAGTTCTGGAGTATGTGGACACAGATGGAAGTGCTGGTCACAGGTGAGAGGGACCCAAGGGCCGAGCTGGCCTTTGAGATGCAGTCCAGCCCTTTGTTACCTGGCTTCCCATGTCTCTGTCCGTCCCTGTGTCTACCTTCTGTTCGCTGTCGCAAAACCAGACCTCGTCTCTGCTGTGCCGGGGCTCACACCAGGGCTCTGCCTTCTGCGGGCTGATCTCGTGGAGCGCTCAGCCTGGCTTGTCCTCGCTTCCGTATCTTGCCCCAGGTCCTTCCTCGGCTCTCTCCAGCCTCCCTTCTTCTTGGCTTCCACGATTTACAACTAAAGGTAGCCTGAGCTTTCCCCTTTACGGTGTCGCCTCCAGTGCCTCCAGATTCTCTGTTCCAGGCTCCTCTTCATCGTCCGTCCTCACCCATTCTCAGCATCTCCCTTCTATGGAGGCTCTACCTGTCCTTGACCCCCTGTCTGCGCCCAGCCTGGGTACCTTTGCAGCATCTTTCCTGGCTACCTTTGCAGCATCTTTCTCTCTTGCTCTTTTAGGCTCTGGCCCTTATCTTTCCTGGGCTTCTCCACACGCCTCCTTCTTCCAGTGTGATCCTCTTTTGACCCCACCGATCTCTTCGCTGCTGTTCAAGTCTGTTCTAGGGAGAGGAATGGTTTTGGAGAGGGAGAAGGGGTGAGGGTAAGAAGAAGAAGTGTGGAGGACCTGGGCTCTTTCTGCAGCTTCTCTCTGCCCAGGATCCCTTTCTTTTCTGTTTCCTCTGCTCAAGCCATCCCTGGGTTCCCCATCTCTTCTGATTAGGCCTTTCCTTTTTCCTTCCTTACTACATTCTCTCTTCTCCTTCACCTGCTGTTCTTGCTATTGGACCCCCCCATCCTCAGTACAGGGCCCATGCTCTCCGCCTCAGCTCTCAGCGATTAGAGACCAGGGAGAGTTGATGAGCAGGAGTCAGGCCATACACAAATGTGTCTATGGGAATGGTTGAGGGGAGATTCAGGCCAGGGCTGAACCAGGTTCCTAGAGATGGATTAAAATCCCATTGTTTCCCAGACCCACATTCCTAAACCTGCCCTCAGCAGCCCAGCTGTGGGAGAATGCCAGGGGAACTAGACTTGCTTAGCTGGAGAGGACTTGCTTGCTCTTTTTTTCTACCTCTAGGCCCTTCCACGATTAGTCCCCCTCCTTCCAAAATCTGGTCCCTCTGTTGCCCACTTCTTCTTGAGATGGCTTGCCACATATGGGCCAAACCTCATCTTCCAGCTGCTGTAGAGGTAAAAAGCTTTGCAAATGGAAGTCACAGTAGGGAAAATGAAGGGGAAGAAGTGAGTACCATAAAGGAACTGAGTCCTGGGAGGATGGAGAGAAGGAAAAAAGGTAGGCCAAGGTTACTGTCCTCCTGCTTAAGTGGGAGGGACATGGGCCACCGTGGATGGCTATGTTTAGAACAGCATGTGACTACATCTGTGATCCCGTGTCCTCTCAGAGATCTACCTAGGATGGGGTCTAAGGGGACATTACCACATCCTAAGACTGAAAAGTCACTGGTCAGCCCCTGTATTCTGGGCCTCGTCCCATGGTCCAACTCTGAGTTCTGTCAGTGTGGGGAACTGATTCGAACTGGCATGTAAGTGTGTGATAGATGGGCTCAGTGCTCCAAGTCTCCAAGTGAGTTGGGAGGCTCCTCTGGATGCTATTTCAACCTGACAGCCACTGGACGGGGGGGGGGGGGGGGGGGGGGGGGGGGGGCTGAAAGGAGAGGTGTGGCACTTCTTGCTAGGGTCTGCTGGAGGGGGATCCAGGGACCAATGCTGCACCAGGAAGACTCAGAGCTTCCCAGGGTCCTGGGGGAAGGCCTTGGCTTTTGAAGATGCCCCTCCTTCTTGCAAGCCCCGCCTCCCCACCCCAGAGCCCCAGGGCTGGAAGTCAGTGAAGAATGGAGGCAGGGTCTCGGCTTCAAGAATAATTGCTTTATTCGGCTTCCTCCCAAGGGGCTGTTACAAAGGCTCCAGGTCGGAGGGCTTCACAGGCACCTTTAGGACTGGGCAGCTCAAGATCTACTCCTCATTCAGGCCCTTTTGAAACAAAATAAAGTCCAAATTAGCTCTGGGAAGGCTGGCATTCTGGGGACAGGGCATGGAAACTGGAGCTGGAACTAGGGCACCTGGGAGGTGGAGACCCTTGTGTGATCTGTTGGAAGCCCCTGTGTAGGCATGGATGTATTTCCAGGGTTCAGTTTAGAAGGGGGAAGTTCTGGAGGAAAAGGCTCTTGAGTAGGCTGGAGGCAAGCTGCCTCTGTGAGATCAATGCAGTTCGTGGGATATTCTTTTCACATTTGAGTGTTAAGGTTAGGAGTCAAAACTAAGTGGGAAAAAAGGAGCTGGTAGTTGGGGGAAATTGGAGCTAATGGGTGTGTGTAAATTGGAGCTGGATAGGGTTTCTGACTCCTCTTGATCTGGGATTCCCAGAATCACTGAAAATAAGATCACAAAGAACCTTAGAAGTCACTGGGAACTCAACCACCTTAGCCTTTGGGATTTTGTGGTTCGGTTAGGGAATAAATGAAATAGTACTCTATAAAGGGACAGAGGAGTTGTGTCTGCTGTGGGAGGTGACAAGTCAGGTCCAGAGGAGGAACCCACCTTGGCACCAATGTCGCGGCTCTTGGCCCGCAGCTTGTTGACCTGGGACTCGGCGATGTCCGCTCTCTCCTCTGCCTCATCCAGCTCATGCTGCACCTTGCGGAACTTGGACAGGTTGGTGTTGGCCTGCTCCTCCTACGAGCAGATAAAGGGGATGGGTGAGAAAGGACCTGGTCTCTTAGCCTTCCAGTCTTGGGGCCTGGTACCCCGTGTCCCTCTTCCAGGCTTCAACCCCAGCAGGGCCACTCACCGCCTCCTCAGCCTGGCGCTTGTAGGCCTTCACCTTCAGCTGCAGCTTGTCCACCAGGTCCTGCAGCCTCAGCAGGTTCTTCCTGTCCTCCTCTGTCTGGAGGTCAGGAGAGGGTCAGAGGTGAGAGGGCACAGTCCGAGGAGGCAGCACCCCACCCTGGCTGCTCTTGACTTCTGCATCCTTAATGCTACCTTCTGAACCAATGCTACCCTCTGGACCTCACAGAATACTTGAATTGGCTTATAATTTCTCACCCAAGGAGCATCTTTTTGAGACATGGACTCTCTATGCAGCCCAGGTTAGTCTCAAACACATGATCCTCCTGTCTCAGCTTCCTGAGTATTGGGATCATAGGCATGCGCCACTAAGCTCACTGGGAATGTGAATATTTTAAATAATTACATAAAGAAAGAATCCGATGAGCTAATGGGATTCCTGAAAGAGTGTAGTGACCAGGGAGCAGGTCCCGAAGGCCCCGGAACACCACAGAACATAAGCCCACTGGCTGCTGGCCCAGCATGTGCGGGGAGTGAATCTGGGGTTGTGAGCGTGATGGAATTTCCTGGGCTGCAATAATGGACTGACACGAACTTGATCTAGCCTCAGGACAAAGTGTGCTTGGAGGGCGCAGCATGCTAGACTGAGACACACACAAATTCTAACAGAGAGTCTCACTCTACAAAGCACCACGGAAAGCTGGGTTTATATTGCCTGGGGTACCTGAAAAGTTTGAAGACTTATTTGAATGGCTCTGGTGTCTTTGGTAGCAAGCCTGGCTATAAATTTTCTTCTGGGGAAGGGCAGTGCTGGTTGAAACTGTGCCTGTCTGTGCATATCTCTTGTGGATGGACTGAGGGTGCATGTCAAGGTGGAACACACAGGCTGTGAGCTCAACCGCTGACCTCTGGGCCAGGGGACAAAGTTGGTCATGATAGGGCAGAGGGCAGAACATCCAGGGGCTGCATGCCAACTCTGGCTGGGAAGAAGGAGCAACACCTCTCTGTTCCCTTTGGCTGTTCCTCACTGTGGCTTCATGGTGCAAGGGCTGTGACCACAGTTCTGCGCCAACCTGGTAGGTGAGCTCCTTGATGCGGCGCTCACTCTTCCTCATGCCCTTCACAGACTCCGCATTGCGCTTCTGCTCAGCCTCCAGCTCATTCTCCAGCTCCCGAACCCGGGCCTCCAGCTTCTGCAGCTGCTTCTTGCCGCCCTTGAGGGCGATCTGCTCTGCTTCGTCCAGCCGGTGCTGCAGGTCCTTGATGGTCTGCTCCATGTTCTTCTTCATGCGCTCCAGGTGGGCGCTGGTGTCCTGCTCCTTCTTCAGCTCCTCTGCCATCATGGCGGCCTGTGCATGGGAGAGGAGGGCACGTGGTCTGCTCAGGTCCTCGTGGGCTCACTGTGCAGGCTGGGGAGATGCTGGGCCTGGAGTGGGTAGGCGGGGTAGGGGACTCACATCTGTGATGGCCTTCTTGGCCTTCTCCTCTGCGTTCCTACACTCCTGCACCGTCTCTTCCACCTCAGTCTGGAGCTGGGACAGGTCTGCGTCCATCTTCTTCTTCTGGTTGATGAGGCTGGTGTTCTGGGAGGAGAGTGGCAGAGCAGGAAACACTCTGGGCATCTCTGAGGGGCTCCTTCCCCTGCCACCTACTGAGCTCAGGCATGCACAGGGTACCCCCTCACCTGAGAGTGCAGCAGCTGCACCCGCTCACTGGTCTCAATCAGCTCCTGCTCTGCCAGCTTCCTGGATCGCTCTGTCTGCTCCACCACAGCCCGCAGCTCCTCCAGCTCCGCCTGCAGTAGGTTGTTGCGCCGCTCCACGATGGCGATGTTCTCCTTCAGGTCGTCATTGGCACGGACGGCATCATCCAGCTGGATTTGAGTGTCCTGAGGATCAGCAGAATGAGCATAAGATGGAAAGCTGGCCTTGGTGCCTTCACAGGGCTGTCACATAGAATTGGATGTAGGTGGGAAGTCCACTGTGGTGGTTCAGGGTTGACCTGTCAGATGTCTCTACAATAACTGTGTGACAAGAGAGAGCTAATGCCTCTACCATCTGATCAGCCCCCATGGGAGCGAGGCCCCTCTCTGGGTGAGGTGAGGCCCTGTTTCCAGAAGTCTCTGAGTACCTTCAGCAAACTCTGGAGGCTCTTCACTTGTTTCTGGGCCTCAGCAGCCATGCGGTTGGCATGACTGAGCTGGATCTCCATCTCATTGAGGTCGCCCTCCATCTTCTTCTTCACCCGCAGGGCCTCATTGCGGCTGCGCGTCTCTGCATCCAGGGAGGTCTGCAGGGAGTCCACCACCCGCAGGTGGTTGCGCTTGGCCTGCTCCATCTCCTCGTCCTTCTCTGCCAGCTTCCTTTCGATCTCTGCCTTGATCTGGTTGAACTCCAGCTGGGCGCGGAGGATCTTGCCCTCCTCGTGCTCCAGGGAGGCCTGGAAAGGGTGCGAGGAAAGGTTTTGCAGGCAAATTAGTCAGAGTCCAGGGCCAAAGTAGGGGTCTGTCTACAAACTCATGATACCGAAGGAGTTCGGGAATTGGTATACATGGCTCAGTAATCAGGTGCAGGGAAGAAAAAGAGAGTGTGGGCACAGAGAAGCAAAGCAAGCTGAGGAGAAGGTGATGCAGACTCCCAGCAGGGAGAGCCAGATTGGAAGACAAAGAGGAAAGTGAAAAGTGTTGCCAAGGAAACCGAGGCAATCAAGCAGAGAGTGTAAAAAAACACAAGCAGGCAGAGGTGGAAAGGGACTGAGCGGAAACAGCCTCTAAGGTGCAGTACGTCAGATGTGTGCATGGAGGGAGCTGAGTGACCCTGAACTCATCCGTTGACAAATGTTTCCTGGGTGCCTGTGTATGTTTGTATGTGTCCAGCCCCGGCCTGGGCCCTGGCAGTGAGCCAGGCAGGAGGTAAACAAGGTAAGGGAAGATGGGAGTCAAAGGGACCCAAGTCTAGATCTCAGCCCCCACCCCAGCCCCGCCCCCTTCTGCACGCCCACCTCAGCCTCCTCCAGCGCAGACTGCAGCTCCAGCTTCTCGGCCTCCAGCTGCTTGCGGATCTTCTCCAGCTCATGGATGCTCTTCCCAGTGGAGCCCAACTGCTCAGTCAGGTCTGAGATCTCCTCTGCGGAATGCGACACACACAGGGACTCAGTCTGAAGTTTCTGTGGTCTCAGTAGGGTGGGGTGTGTTTCTCTGCCTGGACTGCAGTTGGGGCCCTCAGGCATGGGGACATGACCCTTCCCCGTCCCTGTGGCCCTTCCCCGCCCCTCAGCTCACACACCCTGAAGGTTCTTGTTCTCTCTCTTAAAGGTCTCCAGGTGCTCCAATGACTCCTCATAGGCATTCTTGAGCTTGAAGAGCTCTGTGCTCAGGGAGCGCGCCTCCTTCTGGGAAGACTCCAGCTCTGACTGGGACTCCTCATACTTCTGCTTCCACTCTGCCAGGATCTGTAGGGGAGGGGCACACTGGCCAGAGCGGCCCCAGGCCCCTCCCTCCCCTGCCTCCAAGGAGAATGCTCTGGCCTTGAGCTGGCACAGACCCCACCATCACCATGCACACTGCCCACAGCCCCACCCTGAGGCTACCTTGTCGAAGTTCCTCTGCTTCTTGTCCAGGGCAGCGGCGGCGGCATTGGAGCGCTCCACGTCCACCATCAGGTCCTCAATCTCATTCTGCAGCCTGTGCTTGGTCTTCTCCAGTGAGGAGCACTTGGCATTGACGGCCTCCACGGCCTCCTCGGCATCCTGAAGCCGCTGGGCCAGCTTCTTCCTGTCCAGGGGAAGTAGGAAGGGTGGCAGGGTAGAAAGGGATGGGGAGAATGGAGGAGGTAGATTTGGACAAGAGGAAAACATGTGAGCCTTTCAAATGACTATCCTTGACAACCCAGAAGCATCCAGAAAAGCCTGAGGATGGGCTCCAGAGGCAGGCAGATCTTGGTAGCTGAGCATGAAGACATATAGCACCAGTGAGGCACCAGAGACCGTGAGGCTCCCTTCTTCTCGGCTGCAGCCGCCATTCCCTCCGGCACCCTACCCCAGGTGGGAATCACTCAGCCCTCAGACAAACCTTTTGTTCGTCTTATATTCGGATGAGAAACATAACGCGAGCAAAAAGCTTCCCTGAGAGGAGCCGGAGGCGGGGCTGGGGCAGGGCCCTCCTGCGCCGTCACACACTACCTTAGAGTCCCCTCTGTGGGCTCTATTGAGCATCAGTGTGGGCTGGTTGCCCAGGACTCACTTGGCTTCCTCCAGCTCCTCGGTCCTCTGGATGGCGTCCGTCTCATACTTGGTCCTCCACTGGGCCACCTCTGAGTTGGCCTTGGACAGGACACGCTGTAGCTCGGCCTTGGCCTCTGTCTCTTCTTCATACTGTTCCCGCAGCAGGTCACAATCATGCCGGGCTGACTGCAGTGCGTGGGCCAGGGCATTCTTGGCCTGGGAAGAGGTGGGCACCAAGGAAGTGGGTCAGCTTTTTCCGTAAGGTCACTCCTGGCACACCTTTACCCTAGTCTCAACATGCTCCCTTGGCCACAGCTACTTCCAAGTCTCCAGTGAACCTGGAGTGGTTTCCTGAGCTAGAATGACCCTAAATAGTAAAACAGTACACACTGTTTACAAAGAAAGTCCTTGTGCCCACTGCCCAACAGTCCTTGCAGCAGATCTTTTCATCCATTGCGTTTATAGGTGCAGAGACATCAGGATGTTTCTATTTCTTATAGAATCTATCTTATAGATTTCACCAATCTATAAGAGGTAGATTAGCATTGAACTTTGGGATTTTGTAGGGAGGATGTTGGGTGTTTGTGCATGTGTATGGAGGCCTAAAGTCAACCTTGGGTATCATTTCAGACACTGTCCACCATATTTTTTGAGACAAAGTCTGTCTCTGAGACCTAAGATGACCAATTTAGCTGGGCTGGCTGCCAGTCAGTCCCAGAGATCTCCCCACCTCTGCCTTCTTGGTGCTGGGATTATAAGAGTGAGCCATGTCAGGCGGTGGTGGCACACGCCTTTAATCCCAACACTCTGGAGGCAAAGACAGGAGAATCTCTGTAAGTTCAAGGCCAGCCTGGTCTACAGAGCAAGATCCAGGGCAGGCACCAAAACTACACAGAGAGACCCTGTCTCGAAAGAAAAAAAAAAGAGTGCCGCCATGCCCAGCTTTTTACGTAGGTGATTGAACTCAGGTCCAACCTTCTTCATGCTTATCCGGCAAGTACTTTACTGACTCAGCTGCAGCCCTGGCCCTGGGATTTTTTTTTTTTTTTTTTTTTTTTTTTTTTTTTGGTTTTTCGAGACAGGGTTTCTCTGTGTAGCTTTGCGCCTTTCCTGGGACTCACTTGGTAGCCCAGGCTGGCCTCGAACTCACAGAGATCCTCCGGCCTCTGCCTCCCGAGTGCTGGGATTAAAGGCGTGCGCCACCACCGCCCGGCTGGCCCTGGGATTTTTAAGAACTTACTCTCTTGTCTCTTTTTCACGAACTCAGTACTGTGCTAGGCATAGGCTCCTTTCCTTCTCCAGCTCTCAGATTGTCTCATAATCCTAAAACCCTTTATGCTGTCCCTGAACTCCGTATCTGCACCCAAGAAGGCTGTCTCCTTAGAACAGCAGTTCTCACTTCCTAATGCTGAGACCCTTTAATACAGTTCCTCATGTTCTGGTGACCCCCCCAACCATAAAATTATTTTCGTTACTATTTCAAAACTGTAATTTTGCTATGGCTATGATTGTAATGTCAAAGTCTAATATGCAGAATATCTGATATGTAACCCCACTGAAAAGGTAGTTCGACCTCAAAGGGGTCTCGACCCACGGGTTGAGAACCGCTGCCTTGGATAATTTCCTCTCTGCCTCTTCACCCCCACCCCAGCGTGGCAACAGGAGAGCAAAGGGCCTCTTCTCAGCCTGGGGAACAGATTTAAAAGACACTTGGGAAAGGCTGGGTTATTGTTTCTTTTTAGAACTTGTAGAGAATTGTGGACCAGATCAGCCTCACTCTTAGGAAAGAAAGAGACGCAGGTTCAAGGGCAGGTGGTGCATGCCATGCTTGGGCCAGGCAGAGTCCAAGCCTCACCTTGACCTCCTCCTCCAGCTGCCTTTTGAGGTCCTCCAGCTGCTGGGTGTAGGTGAGCTTGCCTCGGGTCAGCTGGGAAATCAGCGCCTCCTTCTCATCCAGCTGCCGGGACAGCTCCCCTGGGGAGGCACCAAGGTACCTTCAACCCCTCCTCACCCTCAACCTGTCCCCGAACCCTTGGGCTCCATTCTCTGGAGACACTGTGGGCCCATGAGGGGCAAGTACACCCAAGGTGGGGTGGCTCAGGAGGTTGGGCTGGTGGAGCTCCAGCCCCGAGGCTCACCGTTCTCTGTCTGCAGCTTGGCCCGCTGGCTGGTGAGGTCATTGACAGAACGCTGAGTCTCCTCAGCCTTGCTCCGATGCTCATTCATCTGGTCTTCCAAGGTCCGGCACATCTTCTCCAGGTTAGCCTAAGAGAGGAGGGAGTTATAGAGTAGGGGCAGGGAGGGAATAAAATGGAGTGAGGATTACAATTGAAGAAGAAATGGAGAGGGACCCATGGGAAGGAAGGGGGCAACCATACAACAGCATAGAGGAAGGAGGAAGACAACGGGCAGCCAAGGAAGAAGACAGGAGCTGGAGGCAGATGGAGGGAACTAGAGGGGGAGGCAGCCGAGAGGGCCCACCTTGGCCTTGATGATCTGCTCCATGTTGGAGGTGACGTCATCCAGCTCCAGCTTGAACTCGCTCTTCTCCTTCTCCAGCTTCTGCTTCACTCGCTGCAGGTTGTCGATCTGCTCCCCCAGCTCGGCCACACTGTCGGCGTGCTTCTTGCGCAGGGCCGCGGCTGTGGCCTCGTGCTGCAGGGTGGCCTCCTCCAGGTCCCGCCGCATCTTCTGGAACTCGGCCTCGCGCTTCTTGTTCATCTCGATTTGCACAGACGTGGCCCCGCCGGCCTCCTCCAGCCTCTCGCTGATCTCCTCCAGCTCTCGGGACAGGTCTGAGCGCAGCTTCTCCACCTTGGCCCTGGCTGTGCGCTCGGCCTCCAGTTCCTCCTCCAGCTCCTCGATGCGGGCCTGGCCGGGGACACGGAGGTTCAGACCTGCTTCCTGGACCCCTCCGTGGAGGCCCCCCACCCCAGGGCTCTAAAGGCCCCCTGGTCTACAGAGAACAGCAAGTGAGTGTGATGTGTTACTGGAGAGGTGGACATAGAAGGATTGGGGCAAGGGGTCTTGCACAGCCTAGTCAGGTTTTCTTTAGGCTTGAGCATTGCATGCTCTCTTTATTAGAAGAAAACAGATCTCTTGGAGAAGGACAAAGAAATTTGTGTTTCCTGGGCTTTTCCAGGCAGTTTAGCGGCAAGAAAATAGCAAAAGTCTAACTGAGAAAACCACCCCTGTTTGATACAATAGCTGAAGGCCTAGCCCAGTGCCTGCTAAAGAGGAAAGAACCATAAAGGCTGAAGGGACTTTAAAGGTCACCAGATGACAGGGTGGACATGGGGACCTAGAGGTCTGTTGTGGACTTCTGTCATTGCTTGACTGGATAGAGTTGAGACAGAAAGCCAGGAGTCCTGCCCTCCAGACCTGTTTTTCCCCCCAGGGTCTCTTCTTTCTTGGATCATATAAGCCCCTCTTGCAGGGAGACCTGTGCATTGTGTCCCCTTTCGTGGACACACAGTTCCTGTGACGCAGGAATAACATACGCTGCAGGGGATGCAGGGATGCACAGCTGCAGTCCCCCACCTTACCTGAAGCTCTTTGAGCTTCTTCTGCAGCTGGCTCCCCAGGGCCTGCTCATCCTCAATCCTGGCATTGAGTGCATTTAACTCAAAGTCCTTCCTGTACGGAGGAAAGGAGGTGGGTGGGGTCAGAGGTCAGGAAGGCACCTGGAGTATCCACCAGAGATCAGAGACTAAAAAACAAAAAAGTGCATTGGGGGTGGGGGTGAATACTTCCAAGAGTGATTTAGGTTACCCAAAGAGTAACACCTGTCTGATTCAAGTCCAGTAAGAACGTAACGGGAAAAGCCCTGAGGCAGAGTGGCAGGGCTGACCTCTATGGGACTGTCCCCTCTATGGGACTGTCCCCTCTATGGAACTGTCCCCTCTTTAGGCCATGTTTTCTCATCTGTGAAGGGAGGAGGAGACTATTTCAAAGACCTGTGTGTGTGGGTGTGTGTGTGTGGGGTGTGTGTGTGTGTGTGTGTGTGTGTGTGTGTGTGTGTGTGTATGTGTGTGTGTGTGGTGTATGTGTGTGTGTATGTGTGTGTGTGTTGTGTATGTGTGTGTGTATGTGTGTGTGTGTGTTGTGTACGTGTATGTGTGTGTATGTGTGTGTGTGGTGTGTGTGTGTGGGGTGTGTGTGTGGTGTGTACTGGTGGTCTTTAACTTGTCACTGTTTGTTTAGGCAAGTCATAGCCTCTTTTTTTTAAATTGGGGTATATACATTGTACGTAGTGCAGGATTTCATAAAGATAGTGTCTTACGCCTATGCCAAGTACTTTGATCACACTCGCCTCCTTCTCAACGCATTGACCTTCCTAAGCTATTTTTTTGGTAAAGTCGGGCTACATCATCTTTATAAGGAGACTGAGGAGGGGCTAGGGAGCCGGCTCAGCCACTGAGAGTACTGTTCTTCCAGAGGAAGCAAGATGTTCTCAGCCTTCACATCGGGCAGCTCACCACCAACTGTAACTCCAGCTCCAAGGGATCTGACACCCTCTTCTGACCTCTGGGGGCACTACAGTCACATGTACAAACAAACACACACACACACACACACACACACACACACACACACACACACACACATAATTAAAAATAAAATATAGAAAAAGGAGGTTGAAGAATCACTCGCTAGGACCAAATATAATTCATCTATTCACTCAACAAAGTCTGTGCCTAGGGAAGTGTGAAAACTCCTTTGCAAATACAAGTTGAAGTATGCTAAGACCCTCAAATGTGAAAACATGTTTTCGTAACTCACTATTAACCGAGTCGGTGTGTGCACCTTTTGGAAGGTCTTGCAATCAAGACTGGGACTAGAAGTTACCTAGAAAGAAGAAATGGCCCAAACCTTTCATTTTTTTGAAACAGCAGAGCCATTTCTTTGTGATTCAGTTTGCTTTCTGCAGAAAAACCCAAAGGAGACTTTCCCGGGAGGCTTTTGTGTGCAGCCTTCCTCCCTGTCCAACTGAGTGCTCACAAAGAAAGCAAGCTTTTATTTTCGCCTCTCCTAAGGGCTTGAGGGATCCAAACACACACACTGCACTACGTACAATGTATATACCCCAGGGGCCTTAATGTGTACAGGAAAGTACTCTTCCTGAAGGTCTTTGCCCTCAGTCTGAGCATCCACCGCCTCTTAGCATGGCCCCTGGGTCAGCTTGTCCTGTCCTGAGCTGAGCCGGGCTGAAAAGAAGGAGCCACAGCAGTGAGGGAACACGGTACTTTTTAAGTCGTTCATCCAGCTGCTGCTTGTCATTCTCCAGGTCCATGATGCTCTCCTGGGTCAGCTTCAGGTCACCCTCCAGCTTCCGCTTTGCTCGCTCCAGGTCCATGCGCACCTTCTTCTCCTGCTCCAGGGATCCCTCCAGCTAGAGGAGAGAAGGACCAGCTATGTGCCATGAGGTAGAGCATCCTGACCTGGGTTTTGTTACTCTACACTTTGGAAATCCTTGGGAAATCTAGGACTCTGGAAACTTCCCTAGAAAGGACCAGTGTTCCCAGGGAACCATGAGAGAGTCTAGAACGGAGGGATTGCTCAATAGATATTTGATGAATGAATGAAATTGGGATAAGATTCCAAAGCTATAATCATTCATTCAGCATCCTGTAAGTACCTACTGGTTCCAGGCTCTGTGCGGGGGTACTGAAGACACAAAACTGAGTAAACTCAAGTTCCCATCTGAAGGGAGCTCTTAGTCCTGTGACTGAGACAGATACTTAAGTTATTAGGGCAGAATGATAAGGATTTGATGGATATATACACATATGAGGGGACGATGGTCACTCAGGATCAGACTCTGCCAAGATCCTCCTCAAAGAGGCTCACGGTTTATCAGAGACTTACAATGCTCTTAGGAGATAATCCTCTAAACACTATGGTCAAAGGTAGAGTTACGTGGGTTTAAATTTTAAACTTTAAAGCTTAAGTTAAAGAAAAAAAGCTCTGTTACTGATCATAACAGTAAGATTGCATACATTATTTGAAGTTGATAACCCTCATGCTTTCTATCCCCCAGTTTTATTCTGGGAAGATATCAGTAGAAAAACACTTTCCACTATCCTGCAACACTGCCCCCTCAAACACACACACTCACACATACCCCTCAACACAGACGGACATGCTACATCAAAGCCCGTTACGCCCTGTCTACTTACATCATCCACCTGCTGCTCCAGCTTGACCTTGGCCTTGGTCAGAGTGTTGACCTTGTCTTCCTCGGCCTGAAGGTCATCCAGAGCCTGCTGGTGGGCCTCTTGTAGAGCTTTCTTCTCCTTGGTCAGCTTGACAATGATCTCATCCAGTCCAGCCATCTCCTCTGTCAGGTTTTTCACCTGCCAAACAAACAAAAATTCCCTTAAGTCAAAGGACACCACCTGGGGACACCTAGAAGAACCTCCAAGATGCAACAAGGATCACACTGTGGTTTGGATCCCGAGGAAGCTGGCCTCACCTTGTTCTCTGTGGCATGCTTCTCCTTCTCCACCTTGGCCAGTGTCAGCTCCAGGTCATCAATGTCCCTTTTGAGCTCCGAGCACTCATCTTCCAGCTTGCGTTTCTTGGCAGTGAGCTCTGCGTTCATCTCCTCCTCGTCCTCCAGCCTCTCGGTCATCTCCTTTACCTTGGCCTCCAGTTGGATCTTGTTCTTGATCAGCTGGTCGCAGCGCTCCTCTGCATCAGCCAGGTTGTCTTGTTCCTGGGGCCAAGGTACAGAAAGGGAGGCTGGTCTGAGGACCCGTCCATGTCCTCACAGGCGGCAGAAGGGAGAGGTGCATCACCCAGACAGGAGAGGGACCCCAGCTTATTCTCAGCGGAGAAGAGCCTCAGGAGGACAGGAAGGGGGATTTAGGATGGTACGGCTTGGGAGCACTGGGCAGAGGGGGATTTAGGATGGTATGGATGGGAGCACTGGGCAGAGGGGGATTTAGGATGGTATGGATGGGAGCACTGGCCAGAGGAGGATTTAGGATGGTATGGATGGGAGCACTGGGCAGAGGGGGATTTAGGATGGTATGAATGGGAGCACTGGGGAGGGGGGATTTAGGATGGTATGGATGGGAGCACTGGGGAGGGGGGATTTAGGATGGTATGGATGGGAGCACTGGGGAGGGGGGATTTAGGATGGTATGGATGGGAGCACTGGGCAGAGGAGGATTTAGGATGATATGGATGGGAGCACTGGGGAGGGGGAATTTAGGATGGTATGGATGGGAGCACTAGGGAGGGGGGTATTTAGGACGGTATGGATGGGAGCACTGGGGAGGGGATTTAGGATGGTATGGATGGGAGCACTGGCCAGAGGAGGATTTAGGATGGTATGGATGGGAGCACTGGGGAGGGGGGATTTAGGATGGTATGGATGGGAGCACTGGGCAGAGGAGGATTTAGGATGGTATGAATGGGAGCACTGGGGAGAGGGGATTTAGGATGGTATGGATGGGAGCACTGGGCAGAGGAGGATTTAGGATGGTATGGATGGGAGCACTGGGGAGGGGGGATTTAGGATGGTATGGATGGGAGCACTGGGCAGAGGAGGATTTAGGATGGTATGGATGGGAGCACTGGACAGAGGAGGATTTAGGATGATATGGATGGGAGCACTGGGGAGGGGGAATTTAGGATGGTATGGATGGGAGCACTGGGCAGAGGAGGATTTAGGATGGTATGGATGGGAGCACTGGGGAGGGGGTATTTAAGATGGTATGGATGGGAGCACTGAGCAGAGGGGGATTTAGGATGATATGGATGGGAGCACTGGGGAGGGGATTTAGGATGGTACTGCTTGGGAGCACTGAGCAGAGGGGTATTTAAGATGGTATGGATGGGAGCACTGGGGAGGGAGATTTAGGATGGTACTGCTTTGGAGCACTGGGGAGGGGGGATTTAGGATGGTATGGATGGGAGCACTGGGCAGAGGGGGGATTTAGGATGGTATGGATGAGAGCACTGGGCAGAGGGGGATTTAGGATGGTATGGATGGGAGCACTGGGGAGGGGATTTAGGATGGTATGGATGGGAGCACTGAGCAGAGGGGTATTTAAGATGGTATGGATGGGAGCACTGGGGAGGGAGATTTAGGATGGTATGGATGGGAGCACTGGGGAGGGGGGATTTAGGATGGTATGGATGGGAGCACTGGGGAGGGGGGATTTAGGATGGTATGGATGGGAGCACTGGGGTGGGGGGATTTAGACTGGTACTGCTTGGGAGCACTGAGGAGAGGAGCAGAGGAGGAAACACAAAGTCTTCACACGGCTTCTAGTTTCCTTGCTTGAAGAAATTGCATTTGCTGATGTCACACACTGTGAATGTTAACCTATAAGAGAGGCAGCCGGATTCCTGTCTAAGGATGAAGGAATTTAGGCTCGAAGAAGATTTATAGTTTCCCCTGGGATCCTTCTCTCTCTGTCCCTGACTCTCTGTCTCTCTGTCTCTCGTTGTTTCTCTGTCTCTGTCTCTCTCTTTCTCTCGGTGTGTGTGGGGAGGGGGGAGCTAACAATGGCCATGTGGCCTCACCGCCTGCACTTGGAGCTGCAGGTCATTCTTCTCCTGCAGCAGGGACACCATCTTCTCCTCCAGCTCCTTGCGCCGAGCCTCAGACTTCTCCAGCGCATCTTTGACTCGCCCAAACTCTTCCTTCATGTTGGCCATCTCCTTCTCCGTCTCTGCGCTCTTCAGCAGTGGCTTGATCTTGAAGTAGAGCTTCATCCATGGCCAATTCTTGACCCCCATGAAGGCCCGGATGTTCCACTGGATTATCAGCAGGGAGTCTCTGCAGGCACAGTGAGAGGAATGGTGTGAGAACCACCCCTGTTCCTTCCCATCTAAAACCCTTCATCCTAGATTAAATCCCCCTTTCCTTATCTATCTCACCCTCCCCAGGGCCTTCAAATGCTAAGGACCGTCTTGTGTTCATAAGGTCCCTTCCTAATGGTTTCTTCTGATGAGCCCACGAAGTCTTTCCCTTGACCATGTCATTGAACTAGCCTGGACCTCAGGGAGAGCTAAGGACCTCCTTTGAAGCCCTCTCACCTGCGTTCCAGCAGCTTCTTGAACTCCATTCTGGAAAGCACACCTCGGGACTGGGCCTGGATTCTGGTGATGATGCGGCTCAGCCTCTCATCACGCATCTCCTCCAGCAGCCCCAGCAGCCCCGCCTTGAAGAACACCTGTAGATAAGACATGAGTTGAGCATGACTAGGACCGGGTATGAGGGAGAAAAGGTGATGGGCATCTGGGGACAACTGAGGGAAGAATTGGAAGGAGGATGCCATGGGCAGCTGGAGATGGGATGGGAAAGTGGTTCTGGGAGTGGAGAAGTACCATGTGGTTCAGATATATCCTTTAGGATAATTGGTAATAGGGTGGGAGGAAAAGATGAAGAACCAAAGGAAAAGAGATGTCTTTAACTAATTTGTCTCTTTCCTTCCCTCACCTTGGTGTGACCAAACTTGTACTGGTTGTGGTCAATGTCCAGGGAGCCCAGCAGCTTCTCAGCCCCTTTCCTGCTGTCAATGAATTGGCCCTCAGGGATGGCTGCCGGGTTCAGGATGCGGTACCTGGGGAGGGAAGTTCTCAGAGTCATTTGCATTCTGTGTGGGTCTGCTCTGCCTACAGAATTCCAGGGCCACCATAGACCCCTTACACCCACCAAGTCAGCCCACCCCTGGCTCCTTGAGCCTTGGGGCACCCCTTACCCACCTCTGTCGGAAGTCCCCATAAAGAATTCGGTTGGGGAAGCCCTTCCTGCAGATGCGGATGCCCTCCAGCACACCGTTGCATCGCAGCTGGTGCATGACCAGGGGGTTGTCCATCACCCCTGGGGCAGCAGGGCAGAAAAATGATTGGGGAGAGTGTTAGACTAACACCAAGTCCTCTGGGTTCCCATCCTGGCTCTGGCACACATTAGCTGGTTAATTTAGCAAGTCAACCTGTCAGTAAGAATTCTTCATTGGTTTCATTTTTCACCGTAGCCACACTTTTAATAGGAATCAAAAGATTTCCACATTTATCATTTTATATAATTTATCCTTATTATCATGTGGTTCCAGGACAGATCTATCTCACTTTCTAGGTGAGTGAGCTAAGGGATTAAGTGACTTGTAGAAAGTCACTGATCTTATCTAGATCTGAGCCAGGCTTTGAGCCAAGATTCTCTGATACTTTGTTTCCAACGGTTTGAAAACAGATAGATATTTCTTATATGCCTCATAAGCGGCTATAAGTCACACATGAGGTGATATCGCTAAAAATGCCTTACACGTTACCATGAGGTATACATTCCCAACAGAAGGTAACACTGAGAGGGTAGTCTAGGAGAAGAACATGATTTGGAAACCAGCAAGACTTGGAGATGACTTGGAAGGTCCTGTCTCTGAGACAGCGCATGTCCAGTGTGGCATAGCTCATGATCGGGGCTCACCTGGAGACTTTGTCTCGTTGGGGATGATGCAGCGTACAAAGTGAGGATGCGTGGAGCGCAAGTTTGTCATAAGTTTGTTCAGGTTTTCCTGTGGCAGAAAAAGGGGGGGGGGATAAAAAGCCAGAAAGAAGGAGAGGAAGGAACAGAGAGGATGGGGAGAATATGGGAAGCAAGGAGGCGAAATGATGTCCGGGGAAGACACAGGTGAGGAGAGAGGTTGACGGCAGATGAGAAATGAGAGAGGCATGTTGGGAAGCAAGATTCGAGGCTGGGAGATGAAGAAAGACACAGCCATGAAAAGGGTCCGAGTGAACCCGGGAAAACTGGTGTTGAGAGGAGACTGGGACGTGCAAGGCAAGGAGCTAGGACTGGGGGGGGGGGGGCAGAATGAATGGGGACCCGTGCTGGTGGGGCTGAGCACACACTCACCCTGTGCAGAGCGGACACAGTCTGAAAGGATGAGCCTTTCTTTGCCTTGCCTTTGCCCTTGTCTGCAGCTGTGGGGAAGGGAGCCAAGGAAAGGGGCATTAGTGGGCGTGTAGGGAGGCCAGGAGCGGGGGTGGAGACCTACAGCCTTCCTCACGTTTTGTCCTCGTTTGGCGACTAGACAAAGGTTTTCTATGTGGCTGCTTCAACGTCTCCACCCAATCCCATCTCACTGAGTCTGTTCCATACACCTCAGGGCATACCATGACGGAGAAGCGGTGGTTTTACAATTGCTGTGTCTCAGAACGACGGCACAAACCTTGGAGTGCTAATGCCTGGGATACTTACGTGCATCCGCTCCAGCATAGTTGGCAAACAGATTGCTGAGCAGCTTGAGGGAGGACTTTTGGTACAAGCCCACCACGGTCTCATTGAGGGGGTCCTTATTCTTCTGTAGCCAGCCTAGGATGTTGTAGTCCACGGTGCCGGCATAGTGCACCAACGAGAAGTGGGCTTCCTGCTTCCCCTTGACGTTGCGAGGCTTCTGGAAGTTGTTGGACTTGCCCAGGTGGTTGTCATACAGCTTGGCCTTGAAGGTCATGTCTGTGGCCTTGGGGAACATGCACTCCTCCTCCAGGATGGACATGATGCCCATGGGCTGAGAGTGTAGGGAGAGAATCATTGAGTAAGTTTCACTCGGGCACACATGTATTCTTCTCTATGTGAGTATTTACTCATACATGCCTGTAGGATGTTAAGAAACTAGGCTCAGCTCAAGGATAGCAGCTAGCTACTGTTTGACACCTGTCGAGCCTTCCACAGGTGGGGATTTTGTTGATGTCAGGGTGAGTTTTTTGTTTTTTTCAAGTCTGGGTTTGTGACTACTACCGGTGCCTTTAACATCCTTCATCACCCAGATCCCTGTGATGCTGAGGTTAAAAATAGGTGCACTGTTATGACTCCCATACCACCTTCGCATTTCCCGATCCTTGGAAGTGTGTAACCCAGGGCCAGTAAACACGCCAGTGGGGAAGGCCAGTCTCCAGATGCCCATCTTTCATGTGGCCAATCTCAAGCCCCTGGGAACACAGCTATGAGTGGGAACACAGTTATCGGCTCTCTGGCATGGACATCCTGGGTGACACAGAACTCTGCGAAATAGAGTCCCTCTTCTGATACTAGACTGAATTCACCAGAAGGGACGTGAGCCACCACCTTATCTGGAGTTCTGGAGTGTTCATGTGGAGTATAGATGGGAGGCTCGGATAGTGGAGACCGGACACACCTTCTCAATGAGGTCGATGCAGGCCTGCAGGTCCATGCCGAAGTCGATGAACGTCCACTCGATGCCTTCTTTCTTATACTCCTCCTGCTCCAGCACGAACATGTGGTGGTTGAAAAACTGCTGCAGCTTCTCGTTGGTGAAGTTGATGCACAGCTGCTCGAAGCTGTTGAACTGGAGGGTGTGGCAGCCGGTCAGGCAGGCTGACTGAGGGCCCGAGTGGCCCTCAGGCTCAGCGTAGGGCTGTGCCACACATCTGCCCGAGCCCAGCACAGCCATGGCTGGTCCCCTCCCAGGTCATGACAGGGAAAGGAGAGCCTCTCCTGAGGGCAGGGACAGGGATTGGCTGTCACTCCACGATCCCCACTGCCGCCCCGTGCCTGGCCCACGGCTGGCCCTCCACGTGGGACTGAAGGTGTGAGTGAGTGGGTGAGGGACCAGTGGGGTCCCAGGCCAGGGCTGCCAGACTCACATCGAAGATCTCAAAGCCGGCGATGTCCAGGACACCTATGAAGTACTGGCGTGGCTGCTTGGTCTCCAGGGTTGCGTTGATGCGTGTCACCATCCAGTTGAACATCTTCTCGTACACTGACTTGGCCAGTGCCCCGATGGCGTATGACACCTTCAGGGTAGGGGAGAAATCCATCTGAGTCGTGCTATTGGAAAGGATGAATTTGAAAGCTCATACCCCACCCTGCCATGATCTCTGCTCCATTCACTTATCTCCCAAAGACAACCCACCTGCTGGACATTCTGTCCCTTGGTGACATACTCGTTGCCCACTTTGACCCGAGGGTGGCACAGCCCCTTGAGCAGGTCGGCTGAGTTCAGCCCCATGAGGTAGGCGGATTTATCAGCCTCTGGAAGGAAAGGGCAGGTAGCAGAGCTAGTACAGGGATGCACATTCTGCAGAGGTGGCCCTCAGACACCCCCAGTTTCCTTGCTTCCCACCTTCGGTGCCGTCCGGCTCCGCCTGCTCCTCCCGCTGCTTCTGCTTGAACTTCATGTTTCCAAAGTGCATGATGGCGCCCGTCAGCTTGTAGATGGAGTTCTTCTCTTCTGGAGTGAAGCCCAGCACATCAAAGGCACTCTGTAAGCAGGTCCCATATCAGTGAATCCGGAAAAAGAAACATGACTGGTTAATGAGATTCCTCGTACGCTGGAGAGAGAACTTGAATGTGTCTCCCTAGTCCCTGTACAGTATGTGATTCCCACACCCAGAGAGTGACTTGAACCCAAGACAGACAGTACATGATCGGGGCCCTGCTTATCACTGTTCACTGTTAATGGTCATAGCTGTTCTCCATAGCTGCTGTGGGCTACCCATCTACATTCGCAGCCTTTCCACTCTCTTTCCTGCCTAGGCTTTCATACCTGTGTGCTTCTCTCCTCTACCCACAGCTTCTTCCAGCCCCATAGGGTCTACATGATACTCCTTCCTGCTTCTCCTGTGGTATTACTTTGTTCCTTGCCCTTCCTATCTCTCTGTCCGTGGTTCTTGGCACTCTGTGGTTTGATAACACCAAATACTGGCCACTCTCCTGTTCCACCGCATGCATCTCAGCACACCCTGTTCACAGGGCACATGCCAGCTCTCGAGGAGGGGTGTACTGCTTTAGAAATCAGATAGCTAGTATCTCTTGGCTCTGTTCCTGAGCTGGCACCATGTGCCACCCTTACCTGTCCACCCTCTGGCTGAGTCCTCACATACTTACATCAGTGGCCATGAGCTCTTCAGAGTCATCAATTGAGGCCACAGTGGTCTCTCCTTGGGAGATGAATGCGTAATCGTAGGGGTTGTTGGTGATCAGCAGCATGTCTAAGAGTGGGAGGATTTAGTTCAGTTGTGCCATAACCCCTGGCTATCATGGGGCTCGAGCACATGGGCCCAGAGGAAGGCTCAGACAGGGTTGGACTTGACCCACAAAACTGATTCTAGCAGTATCAGAAGGCCCAAGGCATACCAACGGAATCCAGCCACAAGCAGAGGGGACTGGGTTGCCATAGAAATAGCTGGTCTCAGTCTGACTCACCTAGAAGCTCGGGCTTTTTATTTGACAGGATTTGGTAGAAAATGTGATAATCTCTTTCTGCTTTCAACTGGAAAATAACCCTGGATTTTTCCAGAAGGTCTGTGAACAGGCAGATAGAAGGAGAGGAATGAGAGGTTGGATGAGGAATGCGGCAAGCAAAAGGCAGAGGAAGAGACTGACAGGGATGCAGAGGTCACACACGAAGATGGGGGTAGAGACCCAGGAAAGACAGCATCTTAGAGAAAAATCCCCAAGAAATGTGGGCTGGTACCCGAGAGAGAGGAAGAGCCTAAGGCAGACAAACACTCAGAAAGAGAAAGCAAAAACGGGTGCTGGGGGAGACATTGAGACCAGACTGTGTAGAACCAGGACGGGCTCAGCCCTGGTAGACTCGTGGAACTTACAGGTCTCTATGTCTGCAGATGCCAACTTTCCAGTTGCCCCAAAATGGATCCGAATGAATTTCCCCTGAATGGATGGGTAGAAGAGGGTGGTAATAAGCCTGGGAAAGGCTCACATTTGAGGCCAACCTTCAGTCAGCCCAAGTCCCAAGTTCAAGGTGGAGAATCACTCACAAATCGAGAGGAATTATCGTTCCGGACTGTCTTGGCGTTGCCAAAGGCCTCCAGGGCGGGGTTGGCTTGGATGATTTGATCTTCCAGGGTACCCTGCAAGAGGCCACGAAGGATGAGGGCTGAAGACTCCCCACTCCATTTCTCGTAACGCAGGCCCGTAGGTGCCAACAGGCCTACCTTGCCTGGGGTCTGGTCCTTCTTGCTGCGGTCCCCAATGGCAGCAATAACAGCAAAATACTGAATGACCCTCTTAGTGTTGACAGTCTTTCCAGCTCCGGATTCTCCGCTGTTGTGAAGAGCAAAGGGTCAACAGGCAGTAAATAATGCTGCTTAAGATCAAGAAGCCTCAGCCAGGCGGTGGTGGTGTATGCTTTTAATCCCAGCACTCGGGAGGCAGAGCCAGGCGGATCTCTGTGAGTTCGAGGCCAGCCTGGACTACCAAGTGAGTTCCAGGAAAGGCGCAAAGCTACACAGAGAAACCCTGTCTCGAAAAATCAAAAAAAAAAAAAAAAAAAACCAAAAAAAAAAAACAAACAAAAAAATAGAGGGGAGAACCCCTATCCTATTGGAGAGGGGGCGCTCTCATCAGGAAGCTGCTAGAGAATGGCACATAGGTCGGGTTAGCAGGCAGGAAAGAGGCCAGGAGAGGACACGAGGTCCATCGGACGAGAGGACTGTTTTGAGAGAATAGATGGGGAGGAAAGAAAAGATTTCAGAAGGGAAGGATAAGGAAATGAAGCAGTGAAGACTCGTGGGCAGAGTTAGAGGACAACCGGCGAAGGAAGCCAGACAGAAAAACGAAAAAGACAGAAGCAGAAGGGAAGAGAGACACGGGGCAAAGAGCCGGGGCAAAGAGCCGGGGCAAAGAGCGGAGAAGAAAGAGATGGGCCTGGGGGTGGAGAGAGAGAGGACCACAGGTGTGCGCAAAGGAGTCTGGGTGCGCCAGGGGCTAGGATTAGGAATTCTGGAACTATGCTCACGTGATGAGGATGGACTGGTTCTCCCGATCTGGAAGAGAGAAGAGGAGAGGCAATGGGTTGGGGCTAGGCGGGGGCTGGGGAAGAGGGGACCCAGGCCCGGGCACCAGGCTCACCCGTCAGCATGTACTGATAGGCGTTATCAGAGATGGAGAAGATGTGGGGCGGGGCCTCGCTCCTCTTCTTGCCCCGGTAGGCAGCCACCACTTCAGCGTTGTACACTGGCAGCCACTTGTAGGGGTTGACGGTGACGCAGAAGAGGCCTGAGTAGGTCTGAGGGGTAAGGAAGAGGAAGAGAGTAGTCAGTGATGCACGTGAGGGGTGGTTTTTCAGAATTAGAGAAAGACCCCAGGGGAGGAAGAAAGGCTCGGAATGTATCCAACTGAGTCATCCCAGTGTTATAACTGAGCCAAAGGAGCAGGGGCCTGTGTAGACGGCCATGCTTCCCGGACACAGAACAAGCAGGTGGCGTGGCTTCTTGCCCAGGAAGCTCTAGGTTCTGGGGGACAGACTCATGCCGCGCTCACGTAGATCATCCAGGAGGCGTAGCGCTCCTTGAGGTTGTACAGAACAGCGGGCTCGTGCAGGAAGGTGAGCATGGCCATGTCCTCGATCTTGTCGAACTTGGGCGGGTTCTGCTGCATCACCTGGTCCTCCTTCACAGTCACCGTCTGGAACAGCCCACACAGGCCCGGTCAACCCGTATCTGCCCCGCTCTATCAGCGATGAAGGGAGTAGGGAGAGGTATGGGTGGGTGAGATGGTGTTCAGCCGAGAAGGCTCGTTGGAGAGTTTGGGCCGCCATCCTATCCAAAGGACAGGCGGCGTGGTGGTCCTCGGATGTGCATGCGCGCACCCTCTCTGTGCACCCCAGTTGTGGGGCTCTCTCAGGGGGCTTCCCACACCAGTACCTACACCTACCTTGCCATTCTCTGTCTCAGCAGTGACTTTACCACCCTCTCGGGACACAATCTTGGCCTTGACAAACTCTTCTTTGTCGTCAGGCACAAAAACATCTTTCTTGAGGTCAAAAGGCCTCGTCTGCGCCTCCAGCCGCTCCTTCTCAGACTTGCGCAGGAAGGGGGCTGCAGCCCCAAACGCAGCCATCTCCGCATCCGCCATGGCTGAGCCTGGGGTGAGCAGCAACTTTTACCTATATGCCTTTCCCCTCCCTGGGCTCTCCCCTTCAGTGGCAGCCCCCGGATCTGGCATCATGCTCGGCACTCGAGAGGAGTAGTCACCCGCGAGTCCCTGGTTCTTCAAGCTTACCCCTAAATGAGAGCACAGCCTGGCAACTGCGCCAGGCAAAAGGGGCAGCTTACTTTTGTTCAAGTTGGGGCATTCTTTGGGGAGTGTCCTGACCTTCTTGCAGGGCAGGATTCTGTCTGCCTCTATCCCTGACCGTCAGCAGACCCTGCCCCTCGCTGACCATAGGTAAGGAGCTCCTGGAAACCAGGTCATTGTCTCCAAGCAGGGCAAGAAAGGACAGTTCCGGTTTGGCTTTGGACTACCATGTTCAACCTCCCCAGATCCCTTGAACATCTGCTTTGCTTACCTTGGTTTCTCGAAGGTGTCTAGTGATGAGGAAGTAGGGGGAGACCTGGAGAAAGGGGAGGGGCTGTATCAGGTCAGGCTGTAGGCCAACCTGGCTGCTGCCGCCTCCCTCCTCTCGGGCTGTGTTCTCCCACACCCACCCTCCTCCACACCGAAGACAGATTAGAAGCTCTGGTCCGCCTCTCCGGTCATTCTCTTCCTCCCTTTTCAAGCTCTCTTTCCTTTTTCCCAAAGACTAATTTGAACAACTTCCCGGTGCCTCTGAGCCGCCTTCTACCCTTGGGGGCAGTCCTACCCTTACCTGTACCCGGCCGGGGAGATGTCTTTCCTTTGAGCCACCTACAAAACAGGAACAGTGACATTGGTTCAGTGTTTTCCAGACGAAGCACTTTTATTCTTTTGCTTGATGGTCACCCCTTGGTCATGTGAGGCAATCAAGGCTGAATGGTTTGCTTTTCTCAGAGCACAAGACAAGAGTCAAGACTCCGGGTTCAAGTCCCAGGATTCCAACAGCCCTCTTACCACCATCATCCACCCCAGTGCCTCCTCCACAGCCTCCAAGGAACGTGCCTGCTGTGTGTGCACACTCTTTCCGTAAAGGATAGGCTTCCTCCCATCTGAGGAGGGAATGGGTGCCCAGCATGCGCGCCCCCACAGGGCTCATGAGCCTCAACAATAGCTAGGTACAGAGGCTGGCTCCTGTGGCTACATATTCTTCAGAACAGAGATCAGAGACCCCCTCCCCCACACACACATGCAGGGCTGTGAGCCCCTACCACAGAGAAGACACACAGAGTCATAGTAATGACTCCTCCGTGTACAGTCAGGCCCTTCCACAAACACGGACAGGCTCCACTAGTCACAGAACCGGCTTCCTTTAGAATTATTCTCCACCTTTCTGCCCCTCTTCCCCTAAAATGCTTGTAACCAGGCATGATGGTAAACACATGTCTTCCATTGTATCTTACATGGTGAAATGTACACTCATCCTTACGTTTAAGACACGGATGCTTGTACTCAAGTGTGCACCCACATGTGCGCAAGCACACACAGACACACACAGACACACACACACACACACACACACACACACACACACACACACACACACCACTGTTGCATTCTGGGCCATAGACAGATACAGATATCCCTCCCCGCCCCGGGGGAACACATGGGCCCCCACATTCCTGTGGCACAAGCATGCATATTTAGATCTGCACAGGTGTGCTCAATCATAACCAGGTACTCTATGAAGTCCTGCCAGAAGCCTGCTGTTCTAGGGGAATCTCTTCCTGAACCTGGAGCCCCTAATCCCAGAGGAAGGCCTCTAGCTCCTACTCCTACCTGAGGGCAGCAAGGAAGGAAACAGCAGGAGACTACTCAGAGCCAGACCTAGCCTCAGGGACTGTATATATGGGGCAGCAGGGTGCCCCCACCCCCACCTGCACCCAGTCCCTAGCCAGATTTAGAAAGGGCTGTTGTCACTAAAAGCATTTCCCCCTGACTCCCTCCCCCTTCCCTTGTCCAAACAGTGCTCCCCCCTTCCCCCCCCCCCAGCCAGGAAACAATTGGAAGTGGTCGTCATTGTTGTGGCATGGCATGTTCAGGGTCTGAGTTCCAGGGGGTGGGGTGGCTCAAAGTGAAGCAAAAATATCTCTTACATTCCACAGCTCACTGGAGAGTAAGCTGACAGCGACCACCATGACCTTAGGCAGGCAGGGCCCTGGCCCTGGCCCTGGCCCTGCTGCCCCTTAGAGCCCCTGCCCCCAGCAGAGCCTGATGCTACTTCCAGGATCCTCCCCGCTCTCCTGGCCTGAGTCCCACCTCTGACTGAGGTGGGAAGGGGCTGAGTCACAGCAGCATAGAGGGGCAGGGCAGAGCTGGGGGCACGGCCCTGGTATGGTAGCTGGATTGGAGCTGCGGGGAGGCAGTGTCCTAGTTAAGTGGTAAGGAGAATGACCAGAGAGTTTAGACACTGGAACTCTGGCTCAGGCTCCGCTTTCCTTGGGCCAGCAGGCAATGTGTTGAGATCCCTGAGCTTGAGAGCCAGGCAAGTCTCTAGTGAACCGTCCAACTGCTTCGCTTTATGGAGGTGGGACCTCGAAGGTCACACAGCTTCAGGGGAGCAAGAGTCCAAGTGAGGGACCTCAGCAGATAGGAAGTTGATCCTGGCCAGGGAGGGAGGGCGAAGGATTCCAAGGAAGTCCTGGCCACTAGGTGTGGAGGAGTTCCAGTTGCCTAATGGTCCTACGTTAGAGCTCTTTCCTGATGTTTCCATAGCTCTGCCCTGCAGGTTCGAGAGGCACAAGGGGTGAGCCTCCCAGGGCTGCAGATAAGACAGCTACTGTTGCCTGGCCCACCCCGACCTGTGTTCAGACGTGGATGCAATCTTTGTTCTTGCAAGTGGAGAAAGGGACAGGACAGGAAAAATCTTCCCTTTTCCTACAGGCCCTGGGAGCGACGCTGGCGCCCAGCCTCTGGACAGAGCACAGGCGGTCCTTGTTCTCCCAGCATGGCCTTTGCAAGCTTTGCTGCTTGGTGTCTAGGCAACCGCTTCATGGTTTGGTTTGAAATCCCCTTTCTTCCCCAGCACAGCTCTGAGCGCATGCGGATTAATCCAGCTGCTTGGATGTCAGTGTGAAGGAGAGAGGCAGGCCTGGGGGATGGGGTCCAAAGCAGGTACATTTTGAAGGTGGGATGGGCACAGCAGGAAAGGGAAATTCCAGGAAGGGCTTCTCTGGGGTTTCTTGGTAACCGAAGCACAGTCAGAGGACGCGGAGCAGCTGTGTGCACAGTGCGGCGTGGGGGGAGAGGCTACAGACTGTAGGGGGTGCATCCCACTGCAGCTGGAGCTCTGCAGTCCTCAAGCATGAGGTTGCAGTTGCTAAGGAGCAGCTCCTTCTGCTGATATGCCCAGTAGAACAAATTTTGGGGGTCCCTTCCAGACCTTGCCAGATATTAATGGATCAGCCTCACTAGGAGGGACCTCCAGGATTGGAGGAAGGCTGCTCTTTCATACTCTTTTAGCTTTCTAAGCACAAGGCACCAAGCATAAAGATGCCGCCCTGCCCTGCTCAGGAATAGGGCTCAGGCACAGGTGCATAAATGGATAAATAATGCCTGGGACACAGGTGAGCCATTGTAAAGCCAGTGTCTTTACACTGGGCTGGCCTGCGTGGTGGAGGGATTGGCTGAGGGATTGGGAAACTGTCTCTACAATTAGTAACATAATCACTCCCCTTTTCCGCCTCCTTCCAGGTTTGGAGGGCTTTGGTCTGTGGGTATTTGGGTGTATTGTTCTCAATGTCCCCAATGCAGAATATAAATCACTTTCCTAACTTTAAGTTCTCTGTCTCATATCCCAGATTGGAGGGTCTGGTGTCCTTAAAAATTCCCACCCCGTCTCCAGCCCCTCCAACACCTGCTTTGGAGTCTTCCTTCCGTTTGCTGCTGTTGGAAGGTTGGGTGGCTTTGCCCATCCTTTCCTAAGCAAGTATTTACTGAGTGTCTACTATGAGCTTGGCACCGTTCTAGTCGATGGGGATACGGAACAATGAACCAAAACAAAGATCCCTGCTCCAGGCAGCTTTGTCCAATTGTTTGTAGCGGTGCCCCCCCCCCCCCCCCCCCCCCCCCCGTGCACAGCCGGTGTGCTTTGCACACATGCACGTTCCTAGCGGGGAGAGTGGGGGCCCTACCCATGTGAGGAGTGGGTGGCAATTGTGCAGTGCACTGCAGAGTGACAGCCGACAAGACAAAGGAGACAGAGCAGATGCTATAAATAAAGAGGGGCTGGAGGGAGGGCCGCTTTGCCAAGGTAGACCAAATAAGGCCTGAGTGGAAGGAAGGTGATCTGCCTCCCTACCCCCCACCCCACCCCCTGCCCCCAGGCATTGTCTGGGCTCTGTCACCACACTGATCAAATGTCAGGCCCAAACAGGAGCCATTTGCTGTGAACGTGCCAGTGGAGACCAGCGGAAAGTGTGCTAAAATTACTACCAGGAATTAGGGTGAGGTGGGAGGGGGCGGGAGGCACAAAGGCTAAACCAGAAGATACCTGAGCGTGAAAAGAGAGAAATCTAAAAGGAATCCCAATACCCACAGGGAGAGGGACAGAAGGAGACAAAAGAGGTAGGCATCTGGCCCAAGAGAAGGAAGGAAGCATCAGTTGTTTGTGAACAGGAGACAGGAGACCTGGGAGCGGGAGGCAGCTCTCCTAGCGGCCTGCCCCTAGAATCTCTGACCTTGGGGGACCCTGTGCCTGGCTCCACATGGGCCCGGGATTAGGGAGCTGAGCTAGCCTGTCTCAGGTTTCCCTTTACAAACAGCTGCTACTTCTTGTCATTCTTTTGTGTTCCGGCTGGCTCCAAAATCTTTTGTACTCTGCATGCCAGCCGCCACAATAGCCCAGACTCCCTTCTCCTCTTGATAGATGAGGGCCAGCTGGAGAGGCAGCCCGGATTCAATCAGAGTGCTGTAGGCAGGTAGCTCTCTTCTGCAAGAGTGTTTGGAGGGGACACTGTCTTAGAAGCCCGAGGGAACTTAGAAGGGGCTGTCTAGGGGTGCAGAGACCCACTTGGAGACCCAGCTCCTCAGTTTCTAGCTGTGTGGTCTAGCTCAGTCACGTACGTTTTGTCATCAATGTGTTCGTTTGCGGAGCCCGTGGAGACTAGTCATAAGTGAAGGGCTTAGCACACACCAGCACATAACGGACTTCACAGTGGGAAGTTTTTATCCTAAAAAACACGGACATCAGGAATTCAGACTGCAGACAGCAGGGCCAGTCATCCGCTGTAAGTCCTCGGCCCGCACATTTTCCTCAGCCCCACCACGTCTCCTCAGTTGAAGGCTATGTTCTTCAGGTGGACCTAGACCCAACCCATCTTCACAGGCTAACCTTGAGCCAGAAAAGCTACCGCTGCTCTGCTGCTGTCTGTGGAACTTCTCTCATGACCAATGTGTACCCCAAGACCCCCAGAAGTTGGCCCAGCTTAATGCTTTTTGTGTCCTGGCCTGAAAATCTCAGGGACTCTGCGTGAAGCTGCTGGTGGAGATGGGCAGGCAGGTTATAGGGAGGAGACAGGCTAAATGGTAGCCCTCAGGAGGTGGGACAGCCAGGAATCCTCAGATATCCCTGATCTTAGGATCAGCCAAGGATGTAGCAACCTCTGAAGGAGAAGGATAGAGTATTGTTATGTGAAAAAACTGGGCAACATAGCTTAGCAAGATGGTATAGGTCTTTAGTCCCAGCACTCAGGAGGCAGAGACAAGCAGATCTCTGTGAGTTTGAGGCTAGCCTGGTGTACATAGAGACTCCCAGGACAGCCAGGGATTCTCATGAGACTCTGCCAACGAAACACAGCCATTGCGGGAATGCCCTGACTGTTGAATCACCCAACTTCAAGGACCGAGTAACTACCGAGTTCTCAGCTCTCAGGATTCTGCTGCTGTTACTATCCTCAAGCTGACTTGGTAATTCTTTAGTATATGCCTTAGTTAGGGTTTCTACTGCTATGATAAAACACCATGATCCGCCAGGCGGTGGTGGCGCACGCCCTTAATCCCAGCACTCAGGAGGCAGAGCCAGGCGGATCTTTGTGAGTTCGAGGCCAGCCCTGGCTACCAAGTGAGTCCCAGGAAAGGCGCAAAGCTACACAGAGAAACCCTGTCTCGAAAAACCAAAAAAAAAAAAAAAAAAAAAAAAAAAAAAACAAAACCAAAAAAAAAACCACCATGATCAAAAGCAACTTGGGAGGAAAGGGTTTATTTCGGCTTACAACTCTCAGGTCCATCCATGCTCCATCAGTGAGGGAAGTCAGGGCAGGCACTCAAGGCAGGAACCTGGAGGCAGGAACTAAATGCTTGCTGGTTTGCTTTTCTGATTTCATATGCGTGTGTGTGTGTGTGTGTGTGTGTGTGTGTGTGTGTTTTGCCTGAATGCATGTCTGTGTGAGGGTGTCAGATTTTGGAGTTACAGACGGTTGTGAGCTGCCATGAGGGTGCTGGGAATTGAACTCTGGTCCTCTGGAAGAACAGGCAGTGCTCTTAACCACTGAACCATCTCTCCAGCCCCTCATTCTGATTTCTTATAGCATCCAGGACCTCCTGCTTAGGACTGGCACCACCCACACTGAACTGTGCCCTCCCACATCAATAATGAATCAAGAAGGCCAACCTGATGGGGGCATTTTTTCAATTGAGGTTGCTTCTTTTCAAATGATTCTAGTTGTGTCAAATTGGTACAACAACAAAACTAATCAGGACAGTATGCATATTTTAAAAAATGGGCAAACTGAAAAAGAGCAAAAGATGGGGCTGGGGAGATGGCTCACTGGTTAAGAGCACTTGCTGCTCTTGAAGAAGACCTGGGTTTGTTTCCCAGAACCCACACAGCAGCTTATAACCTTCTATAACTCCAATTCCAAGGGATCTGATGACCTCTTCTGGCTTCCACAGGAACTAGGAACACATATAATGTACATGCATGCATATAGGCAAAAACCCATCCATGTAAAACAAAAGTAAATAAATCTTTCTTTAAAAAGAGGAGAAAATTTGGATGTGGTGGCACATGTCAATTCCAGCACCCAAGAGGCAGAGACAGGTAGATTTCTATGAGTTCAAGGCCAGCCTAGTCTACAGGGTGAGTTCTACAACAGCCAGGGCTATAAAAAGAGACCTTGTCTCAAAGAGGGAGGAGTAGAGAGATGTTAAGAACACTGGAGGCTCTTCTAGAGGACTTGGGTTCAATTCCCAGCACCCACAAGGCGGCTCACAACCATCTGTAATGAAACAGGGCCTGGATCTAGAATGACCCAGAGGCTAAAAATCTCTTCCTCTATGAGCCCAACACAGTTACATATATTAAGGTGGGAACACAGACCTGGAGTTTAAAGGAGGGGAGGTCTTTGAGAAACACTGTTTACCAATCTATGTTCCCAGCAGTGAAAATCAGTATGGCCCAAAGCGTGGATGGTGAATGGTGTGGTGAGTTAGAAAGGACTTGAGGGAAACCTCTCTTGTCAGATTGCTGTGTGGTTTTGGAGATGTCAGGTGGAAAGGAAAAAAAAAAACGTGAGCTTTCATGGTCTATATGTGAGTACCTCTCGGCACAGAGTTAGACACATCTCAGTGAATACAACCGTCTGTCATTCAAATGACAGTCTGTGCGTCAGCAGTGGGGTTCGAAGGGAATAAGATGGTTGCCCAAAGTCAGGCAGGGAATGTGGCCTTAGGATTTAAGCTTGGGTCGGCTTTGTTCCAGAGTGCTTTCTACCCATCTGCCATATTTCACAGACCAGCAAAATGTACAATATCATCGTGAGAGCAATGAAGAGTGACTGCAGCTCCAGACCATGGTCAGTGTGACATCTTAAGGACAGTGTGAGGGTCCGGCTGGGTCCTGGGGGGAGGAGAGGCCAGAGGTCAGGAGACTGTAGCAGAGGTTAAAGCCTCAATCAAAGTTGAGAGGTATGAGAGGGGAGGACCAGACTGGTAGGCATTCCTAAGGAGAGGATACAATGCACTTCAGCAGACTGGCTCCGGGAGATTGGGAAGGAAAAATCATACGGGAGGGCATCAGCAAGGATGGGGGGGGGGCACAAAGGGGGCAAGCCCTCAGACGGGCAGGATGGAGACTCGGTGTGAGCGGGTTAGAGGTAACAGGGGACAACTAATAGAACATGTTTTGTGTCCCAGTAGCAGGTGAGAATTGTGGCCTGGCAGGTAGGGCTGGTGGCTGAGAGCTGGTTACCTTGTGGTGGTGTGAGATGCCATGAGCTTGGAGACAAGAGGAAAGACTCAAGAGAGACCCACAGCCCAAGGAAGAAGGAAAGGAAAGAAGAAGCCCACAGAGACTAGACGGAGATGGTAAGGTGAGCCCAGAAGAAGTCTGATGACCTGGGCTTGATCCCAGAGTCCACTTTAAAAAGCTGCGTGTGGGGCTGGAGAGATGGCTCAGTGGTTAAGAGCACTGCCTACTCTTCCAGAGGTCCTGAGTTCAATTCCCAGCAACCACATGGTGGCTCACAACCACCTGCAATTAGATCTGGTGACCTCTTCTGGCCTGCAAAGACACATGCAGGCAGAACACTGTATACATAATAAATAAAATAAATCTTTAAAAAAAAAAAAAAGACAGAGCAAAACTTTAAGGGGCTGGAGAGATGGCTCAGAGGTTAAGAGCACTGGCTGTTCTTCCAGAGGTCATGAGTTCAATTCCCAGCAACCACATGGTGGCTCACAACCATCCATAATGAGATCTGGTGCCCTCTTCTGACCTGCAGGTGTATATGCAGACAGAACACTGTATACATAATAAATAAATCTTAAAAAAAAAAAAAAAAAAAAAAAAAAGCTGCGTGTGGGCTAGAGAGACGGCTCACCGATGCTCTTGCGGAGGACTCAGGTCCTGGCACCCACATGGCAACTCACAACCATTGGTGACTTCATTTCCAGGGGCCAACGCCCTCTTCTGGCCTCCATGGGCACTGCATGCCTGTGGTGCCCTGACATCCATGCAGCACACACACACACACACACACACACACACACACACACACACACACACACACTCCTAACATAAAAAACAAATAAATCTTTAAAAAATAAAATAAAATGTTGGATATGGTAACAAGCATATGTAATTCCAGTACTCCTATGGCAAAATGGGAGGTGAAGCCCGGAGAATTGTTGGGACTAGCTAGTCTGGAAAATGCAGCAGAGCAGAAAAGAGGGCTTGCCTCAAAATTATGTGGAAGGAAGGAACCAATTCTGAAAAATTGTGCTCTGACTTCTACATGTGTACTGTAGCATGAAAATATCAATTATACATCATGCATGTGCACATACATACACACACACACTAAAGATTAGATGTCTACACACACCATGCATGTGCACGCGCACACACACACACACACACACACACACATTAAAGATTAGAATGTCTACACACATCATGTATGTGCATACACACATACACCACACACACTAAAGATTAGGAAGAGGGAAAAAAAAGAGTCAAAGAGAATAAGAAGAGAGAAGGTTTCCTAGAAATCACAGAAGTATTTCAAGAGGAGCAGGTGGCCAGTAGTGTCAGATTCCAAAGAAAGGCCAAGTGACAGAGAAGAGAACTTGGGTCATCTTGCAGGAAGCAGCTTCCAGAGAGTCACAGGCAGAGCCTGGCTGCTGATTTAATTAAGGAGAAGGATGGGGTGGATGAGAGTTAATAAAGAATGGGATAGGAAGTGCAGGCAGTGGGGGTTATGCCTTTCAACTGAGTCATTCGGCAAATGGAATGAATGAGACCAAACATTGACCGAAGGGAAGCAGGCCAGATAGCATGGTTTATTTTGTTTTTCAGATAAGGCAGCCCCAAGCACGTGGGGTAGGGGTGAAGAGAGATCTCCTTGCTTTGTTCTCTGTTCCCTTTTGTCTTTTTTGGTACTGTTTTCTCATTCCCAGCTCTCTTTCTGGAACTTAGGAGGGTGGCTTGTAAATACTCAGAGAGTATGAGACGGACTCGCAGATGCATAGGCTCAGAGGACTCCCTCCTCACTTCCACAAACGCATGGAGGGAGCTTGTCCTGGAGCTTACCGAGTCCCTCACTCTCAGTCTTTGGCTCTCACTGATTGGCCTGACAAGCATCTCAGTCTCCAGAGGTCTCTGCTCTTAAGGTAAAATGGGTACATAGAGGTCTGAGAAATAAACCATGCCTAGAGACCCAGGGTCAGCCTTTGCTCATGTTTCAATGTCTGCGATTTATCCTAGAATTACAATGTTTATAGGTCTAGAGGCTCAACCTATAACCCAGGCCTGGGATGGCTCCCTTACCTCTGGGTTGGGCCCTTGCTGTTCTTTAAGAATTGGGTAGAATGTTCTCTGATGTTCCTGTACTGCACAGACATGTAGCCCACCACCGAGTGTCCAACTTTCCGAACAAGAATTAAAAACAGATTAAGTCAATGAATAGACACACACATGCCAGCTTTTCTGAGCATGGGAGAAGGTAGTAAGTCACTCCCTGATCTGAGGCTCCAAGTCACATTTCGAAGAAGGGACCTTAGGGGCTGGCTGCTGCTTTCTTCATGGGATGCCTGCCTTCCAGGAGCTGCAGGCGGCCTGAGGGTTAGAGTTGTGCTTGGGCCTGTGGACAGATAGAAACTGAGAGCTGGGCAGACTCCCCGAAGTCTGAAGAGATGAGGCTGTAGAAAAGGGTTCAGAATTTACCAGGCTAGAAGAGCTGACCCATTCTGAGCAGGAAGAACGGGAAAGGAGCAGGAGAATGTGGTGGTTGGTTTTTTTTTTTTTTTTTTTGGAGAGTGGGAGAGAAGAGCAGATGAGGCTGTCTGCAAAGTCCAAGGGTGGGGCTGCCAGAGGTTGGCCCCACCGGGCTCTGGACAGGCCAAGACTGTAGAAAGAGTGTCAGAGCTTGGCCGCTGTGTGTGTTTGTCACAGGGGAGGTGACCTTGCCCAAGGGCAGTGCCTCATGGTGGAGAGAAACCAGGGCAGAGGATTGGGCTTGTGCAAGGGGCCCGTGCTGGGCCCCTCGTCTCTGAGATTACAGCCTTGGCTGCCAAGAGCAACTCTGTGGGGGTGGAATGAGACAAAGTGAAGGTCCTTTTGTGGGCCTGGGTTCCTAAGAATAGCCATGGCTGGGCTCTGCGAGGTGCCTCCGTAGCCTGTCATGTCCCAAGCCCTGTTCTCAGAGGTGTCCCCGTGCCTGGTGTCGGGGGAGTGGAGCTCATTAGCCCCACCTCAGCCTCCATGGCCTGTGTTTGTTCAGCTCTGCTGTAAGGGCAGAGGAGGAGTGGGCACAGAGTTGGCACGCATGGGTTAGGGAGGGAGGCAAAGGCCACGAGCCTGGAAAAGCAAACTGGAGCCCACAGCTGGAAACACTGATGCTCCTGGGAGGAGAGAAGGTGGAATGGGAGGAGCCGGCATTGGCCAGATGTGGGAACCAGGGACACCAGGGGTCGGGAGACTTGTGGGAAGTAGCGGCAGGAAGCGCATGGAAGCAGAGAAGTGCAGAGGTGAAACCAGACGTGGAGAGAAAACTTGGGTCGGGGGTGGGGTGAAGGACCCATGGGGGTTGAGCTGATGAGGATGAAGTAAGTGACAGTGGTATTCCTCAGCCACACAGCATCAGGGGGGTGGCACAGCTCTTGGGAAAGCTTGGGAAAGGCTCTTGAAGGCCATTCCTGTGAGATAACAATGCACTTCAAATCCGTTCCTAATCTCCCCTCCTATTATTAGCCCTGAGCCCTCTCTGGCCAGCAGAGAAGCCACAGGCCCCAGGGCGCTGTCCTTTCTCCCATGCCCTTGGCTAGAATTAGACAGTTGTGGCTGTCTGTGTGATCATCTGCTAAACAAGGTCGTTCTGGCTCCTGGGTAGTGTCACTAGAGAAGAGTGTGGCGAGATGGTGGGGAGGGGTTGGAAGGTCACTGAACACCCCTGTGGACATGGCAACTCCCCGACACGAAGAGGGGTAGATGCCCAGGCCTGTACTGAGTTCTCATATGAACAAGTAAACACATCTTCAATGCAGTAATGGTGTGGGGTGGCAGCTGTTAACCTGTGCAAGATGGCTGGAACCCCAAGCATGGAAGCAGAAGTGCAGAAGCAGCATTGCTAGAGGGCAGGGCAGAGGGGGCGGGCTCCTGGCAGGTGAGCCTGAGGAGAGGTTTTCAAAGGACTGGGCTTCCAGGTTACAGTCCCCAGTCCCCAGCGGCTGGCCAGTGCTGTGAGCATTCCAAAGGGAAAGAGAAAGGCTCGGGACAGTGGCTCCTGTGGCAAGTCTTGTGGCCTGCACTCTGGAGGACTAGATCCTGGGGAGGCCAGGGACTTGCAAGTTTCCCTCAAAACTACTGCCGTCTTTTTTGCCCAGTTTGCGCCTTTGGTGTTTGACCTTTGACCTCCCTCGTGCCTCCAGTCCCCTTAACGTTGCCCATTGTTTTCAGGGGTTTTGTTTGTTTTTAATGGACAAAGGTTATTGCATGAATTTTATCTGGAGCTCCTTTGCCTCTGACAAAGCTCAATAAAATAAATGCATGATGAATAAGGTACCAAAGAAGGTTAGCAGCTGCTGTTCTTGCGACGCTGCGTGCTGCAGCATGATGGGACCTGGATGGGATCCCCCAGATCTTCCTCTGGGAGAGCAGGGAGGAGAGGGCACAGCTTGCATGTCCCCTGAATCTCGTCCTTTCTCCTCCCTCTCTTCCTCCCTCCTTCCTTCACTCCTTTGTTCCTTTTCCCCAAATAAAGCCAATACTCACTTTAAAAGTGAATGGAGAGGCAGAGCCAGGCGGATCTCTGTGAGTTCGAGGCCAGCCTGGGCTACCAAGTGAGTTCCAGAAGAGGCGCAAAGCTACACAGAGAAATCCTGTCTCGAAAAAACCAAAAAAAAAAAAACCAAAAAAAAAAAAAAAAAAAAAAAAAAGTGAATGGATTCCTATAATGCAAGAGAAATAAAGGCCTTTCCAAAGGAGAAACCTGATTGCTCATTGGTTTGGTTTCAGTTGGGGTCTCATTGTGTTATCCAGGCTGGTCTTGAGTTCCTGCCTCAAGAGATCTTCTTGAATCAGCCTCTGGAACTACAGACATGTGCCACCATGTGTGGCATAAGATGGCTTTTAACTAGAATAAACAAAAGTAAAAATTATTTATGATTTTTTTTTTTTTTTTTGGTTTTTTCGAGACAGGGTTTCTCTGTGTAGCTTTGCGCCTTTTCCTGGAACTCACTTGGTAGCCCAGGCTGGCCTCGAACTCACAGAGATCCGCCTGGCTCTGCCTCCCGAGTGCTGGGATTAAAGGCGTGCGCCACCACCGCCCGGCTATTTATGATTTTTTGAGGGGCTTCTCGTGTCACGGTGATCCCAGGAAGAACTCCGATGGTCACTTGCATTTGAGCAGGGGCCAAAGATCTAAAGGCTCAAGCGTAATCAGTTCTCAAAAAAGAATCAAACTCCGCAGTGGTGGTGGTGGCGGTGCACGCCTTTAATCCCAGCACTCGGGAGGCAGAGGCTGGCGGATCTCTGTGAGTTCGAGGCCAGCCTGGTCTACAGAGCAAGTTCCAGGACAGCCAGGGCTATATAGTGAGGCCCTGTCTCAGCCTCCCCTCACTGGATTAAGCTTGGCTGTCTGCATTGTGTCACCCATGGGACTTCCTGAGCTCTCAGATGTCACTACAGCAAATTAGAGATTCCTCTAGTTGGCATTTAAAGACATTCCTTACACTAACAGGTTGCCTCCTGTCCTTTCTTCTGCCTGCAGATCTGACCGGTCTACAGCAATACCGGTACCAGCTTGGGTTCTCCCATGCCCTGGCTCCAGTGGGACTTTTGCCTGTCTCCTCAGGCCCAATCATTGAAGTGGCTTCCAGTCCGGTACCACCCACCTATCCGAGACACATAAAAGCAATCAAGGGAAACTTTGGTGGCACCTCAGATCTGCTCAGTCACACCGTTCTTGTGTCTCCAGTGTTTTTCAAGAGATGTGTGTCTAAGGAGTGTCGGAGAGCATCACATATCCCGTTAGTGGCTGTTAACATATGGATACGTGTGTGTGTGTGTGCAATCTTAGAGTCTCTCAGTCATCATTCCCACACTGCTATAATCACACCATTTGTATAACTTCAAATGTTACACTAATAACTATAAAAAGAGGATTAAAAGGGGCTTGGTGCTGGGGCCCAGCTCAGCGGATAAAGTGTTTGCCTCAAAATCATGAGGACTGGAGTTTGAATCCCCAGAACCTACATAAAAGCAGGTGTGGTGGCCATGTGTAAAGGCAAGTGGGTGTAGTGGCCATGTGTAAAGGCAAGTGGGTGTGGTGGCCATGTGTAAAGGCAAGTGGGTGTGGTGGCCATGTGTAAAAACAGGCGGGGGTGGTGGCCCATGTGTCGCTCCAGTGTTTGAAAGTCCAGGACAGGGGATCCTTGGAGCAAGATGGCTTTTTATATAGAGACCCTGCAAATGAGTTTTGTGCTCAATTAAGAGACCCATCCTTGTCGGGCGGTGATGGCGCATGCCTTTAATCCCAGCACTTGGGAGGCAGAGGCAGGTAGATCTCTGTGAGTTCAAGGCCAGCCTGGTCTACAGAGTGAGTTCCAGGACAGCCAGGGCTATACAGGGAAACCCTGTCTCAAAAAAAAAAAAAAGAAAGAGAATAGCTTGTTTTTAAAAGGGGGGCTGGAGAGTTGGCTCAGCGGTTAAGATCACTGGCTGCCCTTCCAGAGGACCTGGGTTTGATTCCTAGCACAAACATGGTAGCTCACAACCATCTGTAATTCCAGTTGCAGGAAATCTGTTGCCCTCTTCTGTCCTCCAGAGACACTGAAAGCACATGGTACACAGACATGCATGCAGGCAAAACACCCATACATGTAAAATAATTATGTAAATAAAATCTTTAAAACAAATAAGGAATGTCTCCTAAATATAAAGACACAGATATATTCAAAGTGAAAGGACGGATCTGGCGGTGATGGTGTGTGCCGATAACCCTGGTTTTCAGGAGGTAGAAGCAGGAGGGAAAAGATCCAGAATTCAAGATCAGTTTAGGCAGAAAAAAAAAAAAGTAAAAGCATGAAAAATAGACACAACCAATACTGACCAAAACAGAGATGGAGTAATTACATTGATTTTAGACCACAAGGACCTTTAAGGAAAGAAAATTATCAGGGGTAAAGAGTGGCATTAAATGATAAGGAGGTCAGTTCTCCCGAAGACACAATAGTTCTTACTGTTGGCTACTGAAGTGCCAGGAAAAAGCCTCACCTGTGTTAAAGATTCTTTAGGCTGATTAACTGATGAGAAGTTCCGTGTTGGGAAGTGTTTGGAATGTTGCAGATCTAGAGCCGACTTATCTTGGCTATCATTAGCCCTATTAATAGCCATCAGAGCCCACTTCTGTGTCTGGCCTAGCATCCTTGTGAGTATCAGGTGACATCTTTTGGAATATACAGTTTCCACCAACCCAGAGCTGAGACGATCATCAGCTACACCTGCCGCCCAAGCTCAGGCTTCTTTGCTGGGCCTGCCTACCTGATGATCTCATCGATGCATTGAAAAGGGTCTTGATTCAGGGTTTTCTCTATTCTTTCATTATAACAACTTCATCAAACTATTGTCAGGTTGAAACACGTATTGGGTAACCCGAATCCATGTTCCCAGGTCATAGCCACTCATAATTGGTTCCAGAATAAACCATCCCCTATTCCCTTTGAAGTGAGAGCTATGTCCTTGTATCAACACCTAACAAGAAAGGGTCAGAATATATGAGCAAAAACTTCCAGAAGTTCAAGAGATCTAGATAAATCCACTATCACAGTCGATGATTTCAACTTCCCTCTACTAAATGATAGACCTCAGAAGCAGAAAGTCTCAAAGGCCTAACTGAACCAAATAGCAATCAATTAACTAGCTCTAACTGGCTAGTAAAAAACACTTTCTCCAGCCGGGTGGTGGTGGTGCATGACTTTAATCCCAGCACTGGGAGGCAGAGGCAGGTGAATCTCTGAGTTGGAGGCCAGCCTGGTCTACAGGACAGCCAGGGCTATACAGAGAAGGTCTGTCTTGAAAAATCAAAACCAAACAAAACAAAGCCAAAAACCAAATAAGCAAAACTGAATGGACCAATATGTTGCATTTATATATACTTATGTGTCTATTTATACATTTGTATCTGTCTATACATATGTATATACATGAATACATAGATGTGTGTGTAAAACAATAATCAAGAAGAAATCATGAAGTTGAGATGGAGAGGGAGGACACAGAACGAGTTGGAGGAAGGAGAATGTTGGGTAGAAATTGTGTAAATACGTACACATATGAAATTTTCAAAAGTGATAAAAGAAATGTTAACAACTGCTGTGGATATCGCTCGATATAAATAAAGCACTGATTGGCCAGTGACCAGGCAGGAAGTATAGGCGGGACAAGGAGAGAGGAGAATTGAGGAAGGAGGAAGGAAAGAGGGACCGGCTGGAGCCACCGCCAAGACAAGGAAGACGTAAAGTACCGGTAAGCCACGAGCCACGTGGCAAAGTAAAGATTAATAGAAATGGGCTGAATATAAGAGTGAGAGCTAGACAATGATAGGCCTGAGCTAATGGCCAAGCAGTTTAAATAATGTAAGAGTCTGTGTGTTTGTTTTATAAGTGGGCTCCGGGACTGGCGGGACTTGGTGGTGGGAGCTGGAGAAAAATTCTCCAGCTACAAACAACTAAAATCACAATTAAATTTGTATTCCTAAAGAATGTTTTCTTGCTCAGTATATACTTGTAAATGTTATGAGTACTTACCAGTGCGTGGAGCTAATGAGAGAAACAAAAGACAAGAAATACCAGTTTAATGATCTTGTGTTTCTTGCTTGTAGTTGAATCTGAAATAACTGTTAAAGGATTTATTGCATTGTTAACTCTAATATTTCTTGTAACGCACGAGGTGATTGGTATTTTATTTTTGTTTTTTTTAGAGACAGGGTTTCTCTGTGTAGTTTTGGTGCCTGTCTTGGATCTCCCTCTGTAGACCAGGCTGGCCCCAAACTCATAGAGATCCGCCTGGCTCTGCCTCCTGAGTGCTGGGATTAAAGGCATGTGCACCACCACTGCCCGGCTGTGATTGGTATTTTAATGATAAAAAATAGAGGCAGTATTATTTATTTTCTTGGATATTGCAATAGTTTGTCCATAACACATATGAACAACCTTCAAGTTCCAAAGAAAGCAAAGTCTTATTTGTGTTGGGAAGGAAAACTAGTGCTTCACAAACAAATCCTAATGGACTTGTCCACTAGCCTGACCAACTGAGTTCTAGTTCCAGGACCATATGGCGGGAGGAAATCCGACACCCATTTGTTATCTCCTGACCGACACACCTGTGCCGCACGCATGCAATAAATAAATCTTTTCTGAAAAGACAAAACAAAACAAAACAAAACAAAAAGTCTTGACTAGGCTGTTACAATGCCCTGACTCCAGTGAACCTTCAACCGTAAACAAATCTCAGAGGCAAATCCTCTGTCCCATTTTATGTAGTTCCCAAATGTGTAGAAATGAGGATATTCTACCCAGAATGAGAAATACAAGAGGCCTATTCTTTTTGCTTAAAAAAAAAAAAAAAAAGCCGGGCGGCGGTGGCGCACGCCTTTAATCCCAGCACTCGGGAGGCAGAGGCAGGCGGATCTCTGTGAGTTCGAGGCCAGCCTGGTCTACAGAGCGAGATCCAGGAAAGGCGCAAAGCTACACAGAGAAACCCTGTCTCGAAAAACCAAAAAAAAAAAAAAAAAAAAAAAAAAAAAAAAAAAAAAAGCAGCTGGGTGGTGGTGGCGCACGCCTTTAATCCCAGCACTCCGGAGGCAGAGGCAGGCGGATCTCTGTGAGTTCGAGGCCAGCCTGGTCTACAGAGCGAGATCCAGGAAAGGTGCAAAGCTACACAGAGAAACCCTGTCTCGAAAAACAAAAAAAATCACTTATGTGTATGCCTGCGTGTGTGTGTGTGTGTGTGTGTGTGTGTGTGTGTGTGTGTGTGTGTGTGTGTGTATAAGGAAGGGTCTAAGATTCCCCTGGAGCTGGAGTTATAGGTAGTTGTGAGCTGCCTGATGTATGTAGGTGCTGGGAGTGGAACTCTGATCCTCTGCAAGAACAGTATGTTCTCTGAATCTGAGCCAACGCTCCGGCCCCGTTTTTATTTTGTTTATTGAGACAGGGTCTCACAATGTAGACCAGTCTGGCTTCGAATATCTGTTTGTCTCTTGACTCCGGAGAGCTGGGATTAAAGGCGACAGCTCCCCCTCAGACTAGATTTCCAGTCCGAGGTCCCCTTTTCAGTTGTGAGGGAAACATCCGAGGCCAGCACCGCCCTTCTAGTGCTGTATCCTGTAATGCGGATGGATGATAAGGAGTTGTTACTCAGTCCCACCGAGTCCACCAGCCTGTGACAGGCAAGGGAGCGGGTGTGTTGGAAGATACTGAGAAAAAAATGAGGGGGACAAAGGAAACACCCGCAGCCTGGGTTTTCACCCATTTTTGCACTGGACTAGTGGAGCCAGAAGGAAGGCATGCAGATTGACCCGTTTCCTAGTCTGTCCTGTTTTCTCTAGGGAGGTGTGCAGGGCGCACTGCAGCCTTTGCGCAGCGTCCTGCGCATACACGGGGAGGGTGGGCCAGTGAAGCGGCGGTCTGAACCGTGGCTCCGGGCTCCTCTATCCCAACCGTCCAATTCACTGGAGAAAAAGGGCTCCACTGTCGTACAGGGACGATCAGAGACGCAGGAAGGAGACACTTGGCAGTTCGGGGGGCAATGGCGGCGCGGCCGCCCCTCCGGGCAAAGCCGAAGACCGCCACCCAGTGGTCAGTTTGGGTACTACACGGAAAACGCCGTGGAAAGACTGGCACTGCGGCATCTGGGAGCCAATGAGCTCTCAGGTCGCTTAGCTAACTTCTTTTTCCCATTAGCTGCTCTCGCTGTCAATCAGTCGTTTACGCAGCTTTTATTGGAGGTAGCTTCAATCATTCTCTGTAAACCACGAATCACATGTCTCTCGGTCCCAGCCTATCTTTTACGCCTTTAGTTCGCCTCCGCGTCTGACGAATATTGCCAATTTCTGTATCCCATTGGCTAGATGAGGTCCTGCCTCTCTGTGCAGCGGAAATGAAAGCTCTCCTATTTCCATTGGCTGAAATTTGCAGGCGGTGGTTGTCCATCAAATTTGTGACCTCCCGTTAGCGCCCAGGAAGTTCGGCCCCGGAAAGGGTGGGCTCCGCAAAGATGGCGGCTCCGGTGAGTGCTCTCTCGTCCCTTCTTCCCGTAGCTACTGTGGACGTTACCTTGCGCCCCCGCGGATCGAGGCACACCGGTGTCACCGTGGAAGCGTGGTGACGGAAGTTGTTTCCGGGATGGGCTCGCCCTGAGACAGCAGTGTTATATATATAAGTCAGGGGAGAGAGAGGCGGGGCAGATGCTGCCTGTTGGCTCGTCCCGGACAGGAGGCTGACACGAAATTATCCTTCAGAATGAGCTTTATCGAGAGGGCCTCGTGGCCATGACGGGCGGTGATCCGGCCTTGGGGTGGCAGAATGTTCCAGGCACGATAGGAGAGAAGAGCGGTCGTGGACAGTGTGGCGGGGGCGCAGAGCGAAAGCAGCCGCGAGGTTTGGGGGCGTGGTGGGAGTCCTGGCCTGGAGCCGGGGCTGCCGGTGCCGGTGCGCGAAGAACGACCCAGAGGCGGGAATATTTGAAGGAAAGGAGGGCATTTGGTAGGCAGTGCTCCTCCTGCCATCTCATCGCCTAAAGGAAGAAGTTGACCACCCTTTCCTGTCCCCTCCTGTCTGCCTGTAGGAGGTGCTGGACGCCGACGTGTCAAGTTCGGTGACACTTTTGAAAAACCTCCAGGAGCAGGTGGGTGCTGTCCCCTTTTAGAATAAATTAGTCAGAGGTTAGCTTCGACTTTGTATGTCTCATCCACACATACTTTGACGATTTAGGGACAGATAGTTGAATACTACCAAAATACCTTAAGTGTCAAAAGTCTTTCATGCCATAGGTCAAGATAATTCGTTCCTGCGCCCAAAGAAATACAGGAAACTGTTTTTTTTTTTTCAATTATACTCACAGTCCTTTGTTTAAATAACTAAAAACAGATATTGGCAATATCGACATATCACTACAAGTGCCACTCAATATGCATTTACACAGTTTGATGTTTTGTAAGTTCTGTTGGTACAGATAAAATTGCTCTCTTCAGCCTTTGTGCGTGGTGGTGCACACCTCTAAACCCAGCAGTCGGGAGGCAGAGGCAGGTGGATCTCTGTGAGCTCGAGGTCAGCCTGGTTTGTAAAGTGAGTTCCAGGACAACCAGGGCTACACAAAAAAAGGTTATACTCCTCCCCGCTGCTCCACGCCTGTCCTCATCCCCTTTTCTTGGTTTCTCAACGATCCCCTCTCCCAGCTTTGGAAAGCAATATGAAGGTTTTTTTCTCTGCCTCTTAGAGAACTGTTAGAAATCCTGTGTTCAGCAGCAGCATTTCAGATCCAGTTTTAGGTGGCATTCATTACTTAGCATTCATGCTTCCCGATTCACACAATGACTTAGTCCAGTCAGCGATTCGAGCTTACTTTGGTCAATTTCAGGTGATGGGTGTGACGGCACAGGTACAAGCACTGACGAAGAAAGTTCAGGCTGGAACGTACTCCACAGAGAAGGTAAGAAGAGTTCCTGAGGAAGGGCTGGAGGGATGGCTCTGGGGCTCGCACAGCTTGCCACTCTTCAGGGAGCCTGATTTTGGTTCCTAGCACTCATGATGTGAGGCTCACAACCCCAGCTCCAGGGGCACTCTGCACATGTGACATGTATACACACACACACACACACACACACACACACACACACACACACACACACGTAAATCTTTAAATTAAAAAAAAAAGACTTGAGAGTTTTTGTGGGTTTTTGTTTTGTTTTGTTTTGTTTTTCCTGAAGGTTTGTTGTGTGGTATTATGTCCTAAGTGTTAGAGCTTCATCTAGGAGGAGTTAGATGTGGTTTCCATGCAGGAGCCCGGTAGGGATGCAAAACAGAGGACTAGATATGAGTGTGGCAATCATTTTACAGAAGTCACGAGGAAGGATATGCCAGCCAAGCAGAGAGTCCAAAAAGGTATCTCAGAGAGTGCGGGATTTTGAATAATAAATGTGAGCCATAGATACTCACGCTTGCAATGTTCTGGGGGAGTAAATGATTTTGTGGAAATACATTTATATGGATATACATATATTTTGTATGTGTGTGTGATGTGGGTAGGAAGTAAGATTGGAGTAGTCACTCCAGGGAGCCACGTAGGACAACTAAGGAGTTGCTCTTTCGTTTCATAGAATCTTAGATGATGTTAATTGGGGGCATGGTGGCTTTATACACAGAAGTCCCCAGTTTCATTTTCTGTGACTTCAGTTACACTTCTTAAGTTTTAAATAGCTTATATTAGTGTATAGTTAACAGTTATTCGATATTGCTAGTTATTGTTAACCTCTTACTCTACATTTATAAATTAAAATTTATCATTACTGAGGAAGAACAGTGTATGATTCAGGTCTCTGTCCTTGCAAGCATTCATTGGCACTTTGGAATGTATCACTTGTGGACAAAAATGTCATCAGTCTGTGACAGGATACCTTGATTGAAAGATGCATCCCAGTTTGAGATGCTAAAATACGAAGATGATGCATCTGAAAATTAGATGCAGTAGCCTCCTTTCTTCCGTGAACCCCCCCCCCCCCCCCTCTGTTTTGTTTAGACAGGAGCTTGCTATGAAACACAGGCTGGCCTTGAACTTATGATCTTATTCTTCCACCTTCCAAATGCTAAGGTTATAGATTCTCTGATGTGCAGTGAAATAGACTGGTTTTCAAATTAAAATTTGAAGAAAAAGAAATCAGAATTTTAGAGTACATTCTTGGGGATTATTGGTGTCAGTAGAGGATGTCGCTCAACTGCTTGACCTGCCTGAACTGGAACGCTAGGCTGTTTATTTGTTCATTTATTTATTTGGGCTTTTGAAATGGTCTCACTGTGCCAATCTTCCTTCTTCCACCTCTTCAGTTCTAAGATTACAAGCACAAACTACCATGCTTGGCAGTTTTATATATTGGGTTTTTTTTTATTTTTTTATTTTATTTGTTTGTTTGTTTGTTTATGTGTGTGTGTGCGCGTTGGTGTTTTGTCTGTTGCTGGAGTTTTCCTGCCTGACCCATAGTCAGGACAAATCTCTGTCACCCGCCAGTCCCATAGCCACTCAGACCCGACCAAGTAAACACAGAGACTTATATTGGTTACAAACTGTATGGCCGTGGCAGGCTTCTTGCTAACTGTTCTTACAGCTTAAATTAATCCATTTCCATTAATCTATACCTTGCCACATGGCTCGTGGCTTACCGGTATCTTCACATTCTGTTTCTCATCGTGGCGGCTGGCAGCGTCTCTCTGACTCAGCCTTCCACTTCCCAGGTTTATTCTCCTCCTTGTCCCGCCTACACTTCCTGCCTAGCCAATGGCCAATCAGTGTTTTATTTATTAACTAATTAGCAACACATTTGCCATACAGAACATTCCACAGCACTTCCCCCTTTTTTTTTTCAAAAGGAAGGTTTTAACCTTAACAAAGTAAAATTACATACAATTTGGGAATTTGGGCGTAGCTTCTCTTACTACTTCCTGCTGGAGGGGGCCGCTGTATCTTATGGGGAAACAAAGAAAATTTTAGGATTATGGAATAGTCCATGAGGGTGTATCGTCTGAGCCAGTTGCCTTCAAACCATTCTGGATGTTGGATCATCTGGGCCATGGTGTCATCGGAGACCTTTCAGGGGGTCTTGGCTGGTCAAACCTGATGTATCTTAATCTTGAACAAATCCATAGCCTTTGGCTTTCTGTGGGAACAAAAGAGACTCTTTTCCAAAGCAACATATCCTTATATCCAAATTTTGAAGTCATGGTATCTTTAAAATATACATATTGGTTTAACTCAACATCTTTTATGATCAAATGTTTTTCTGCAGTTAAAAATCCCAAAGACAACACAATGCAGATTCTCTGTGTAATATCCATTTTTACGTGGCTTATTTTTTATATTAATTTTACTGTCTCTTTAAAGACTTTATTTTTTAAAACTATGTATTTGTTTCTATAACTCTATATATCATCTTTTTTGTCTCTTTCAAGCCTACGTATCTTTTACACACATTGTAAACTATTACATCTGAATCTGTCTTATTGTGAATCTATTGCCTTAAACTGCAGCAGCTGTGGCTGCTGGATCCACCCACCTCAGCTTCCCAACATGGCCGTGGTTTACCGCCAGCTCTGGGAGCCATCGTGGGTCTATGCTTTTAGCCAAGCAGCGTGTAGCCCAGAAACCTCCCCTTTTGCTCTGCACCAGCAAAGGCTAAATCCACCATGCAGCTCAAAGTGCCATTTGCAAAGGCCTCATTCCCGCCATAGGCAGGTCGAGCACACACGCTAGGAACCCACCAGTAGCTCAAACCAGCAGCTGCCGCTCATTTGAGAGAGACAATTAGGAACTGTTTTTAGCTCCGTTTTAGAATCTTTTCTCAGGTTTTAGGTGGAAACTCTTGCCACCACGTTGGACGCCATTTGTTGCTGGAGTTTTCCTGCCTGACCCATAGTCAGGACAAATCTCTGTCACCCGCCAGTCCCACAGCCACTCAGACCCGACCAAGTAAACACAGAGACTTATATTGGTTACAAACTGTATGGCCGTGGCAGGCTTCTTGCTAACTGTTCTTACAGCTTAAATTAATCCATTTCCATTAATCTATACCTTGCCACATGGCTCGTGGCTTACCGGTATCTTCACATTCTGTTTCTCATCGTGGCGGCTGGCAGCGTCTCTCTGACTCAGCCTTCCACTTCCCAGGTTTATTCTCCTCCTTGTCCCGCCTACACTTCCTGCCTAGCCAATGGCCAATCAGTGTTTTATTTATTAACTAATTAGCAACACATTTGCCATACAGAACATTCCACAGCATTTGTCTGCGTGCATATTTATTTATTTATATTATGTTGGTGTTTTGCCTGCATCCTACACCTGCATGAGGGTGTAGGATTCCGTGAAACTGGAGTTACAGATAGTTGTAAGCTGCCATATGGGTGCTGGGAATCGAATGGGTCCTTTGGAAGAGCAACCAGTGCTCTTAACCACTGAGCCATCTCTCCAGCAACCACCACCACCCCCATTTTTATTTTTATTTTATTTTATTTTATTTTTGGTTTTTCAACACAGGGTTTCTCTGTGTAACAGCTCTGGCTGTTCTGGAACTTGCTTTGTAGATCAGGCTGGCCTTGAACTCAGAGAGATTCGCCTGTCTGCCTCCCAAGTGCTGGGATTAAAGGCACATGCCACTCTGCCCAGCATTATTACTATTTTTTAATATTAGTCTCTCTCATGTGCTGTGACCCAGTTTGGAGTTGACAGTGCCTAGAAGAGCCCACTTCTCATGTTCTCGCCTGTCCTTGTTCTGGGTACGAGTCTTTGACAGGTTTTAGTGCTAGGCTGCTCACATACTTTTGTTTTATCTGTAGAACAGATGTGTATTAACTTAGCTTTTATGACCAAATACATTTATAAAGTACAGGTTACAGAGTGCTTTCATGTTATCAGATTTGTGTTTCAACAATTTTCTTAGGGCAGGACGGAAATATTGTTATTATTTACATATGAGGAGAATACAGTCTCAAGTTCAGCTGATTTTGAAATCCTTTGCTCCTCCTCCTCGGAAGCACTCTAGGGCTGTTGTTTAAAAGCCACCCAGGACTCGGGCTTGGATTCACATTGAGTATGACAAGCATTTGTACTCTTGATGTGTAATTTTGGTCAGAGCATTTAACCTGTCACAAGTATATTTTCCCATCACTATGGACTGTCATTGTCTTTTTTTTTTTTTAAGATTTATTTATTTATTATGTATGTATACAGAGTTCTGTCTGCATATATGACTGCAGTCCAGAAGAGGGCACCAGATCTCATTACAGATGGTTGTGAGCCACCATATGGTTGCTGGGAATTGAACTCAGGACCTCTGGAAGAGCAGTCAGTGCTCTTAACTTCTAAGCCATCTGTCCAGTCCTGTCATTATCATGTTTATGCAAGCATAAGACCTTGTCTTATTTCTTAACTACAAATGTAAATCATGCTTGTCCATATTACTATATTTTGTTTGAAAGTCAACATGTAAATATAAACTCTTAGGGTTAGGGATTGAACCCTTCCACATTCTAGATAAGCACTCTACTGCTGAGTTGCGGCTTCCAGCCCTGTAACACAATTTTAATTTTGGGAACTTTGGAAGATAGATAATTTAGCACAAAAAAGAAAACATTTTTTAAATGATTTATTTTCGGGGCTGGAGAGATGACTCAGAGGTTAAGAGCACAGGCTGCTCTTCCAGAGGTCCTGAGTTCAATTCCCAGCAACCACATGGTGGCTCACAACCATCTGTAATGAGCTCTGGTGCCCTCTTCTGGCATGCAGGCATACATGCAGAACACTGTATATATAATAAATAAATAAATCTTTTAAAAAAAATGATTTATTTTCATTTCATGTGCATTGGTGTTTTGCCTGCATGTATGTCTATGTGAGGGTGTCTGATCCCCTGCAGCTGGAGTTACAGACAGTTATGAGCTGCATGTGGGTGCTGGGAATTGAACCTGGGTCCTCTGGAAGAGTAGTCAGTGCTCTTAACCACTGAGCCATCTCTCCCCAAAAAGAAAAAAAATTTAAAAAACAGTATAGTTACCACTTCAAGATAACCAATAGGGTACAGGCTTGATTTATTTTTTTTTTTCTGTTCTTTTGTTTTGGGGGTTTTGTTTTGTATTTGACACAAGGTTTCTCTGTGTAGCCCTGGCTATCCTTGAACTTGCTCTGTAGACCAGGGTAGCCTTGAACTCAGAGATGCACTTGCCTCTGCTTCCTGAATACTGGGATTAAAGGCATGAGCCACCCCACCCTACCCCTACCATACCCTCCCTCCAGCTCTTTCTGGTTTTTTGAGATGGGTCCTCAAGTAGCCCAGGCTGGTGTTGAACTCCTGATATTCCTGCTTTCCACCTCCCAAGTGTTGGAATTACACACCCTCTACTGCACCTAGGTTTTCTTTCTTTCTTCGTGTCTTTTAACAGGAGTAATATGTGCTTGTTGAAAAGGTACTTTTTCATAGTACAAGCACTCCATTTCTCTATTATCCTCAGCTCTCCAAACAGTTTTTTTATGCATAAAAAATGTGTACAGCCAGCAAGATGGCTGAGGCATGAAAGCACTTGTGTGCAAGCCTTGTTCATCCTCGAAACCCACCTAATGATGGAAGGAGAAAACTGACTCCACAGAGTTGTCCTCTGACCTCCATGTGTGCAGGGTTGGATGCATGTGCTCATCTTACATAATAATAATTTCTTATAAAGTGTATGCATCGCACAGCCCCATTGGAACCATATTATAAGCACTTTTTACAGCTTTTCTTCATGTTGATTTAGTTCCATGTCAAGATATATGAATCATTTGTCTTACCCATATTGTAATGGGGATAAGATTGGTAATTGGTTCGGATAGTTTAAAAATCATACTATATGGAGGCTCTTTTGGTCCAAACTTGGGAAGGTCTGTCAGTGAAATGAGGCCAAGGGTGAGTTGAAATGCACAATGGCGCAATGGTCCTCTTTTCCAGAGAATCACGTGGACTTAGATGTCAGCAGCGATGAGACTGTGACACTTCTAGTCTTTGGGCCACTTGGGATAGCTTCTTCTCAAGTAGCCAGCCCTTATCCTGGAGATGCATCTCAGGACCTCCTGTGGGCCCCTGAGACCTATGCTGTGCTGCTTCCTGTAGTCTGTGGTCTTGCTGCACAGCACCAGGGTTAGCTTTCCCTCCACATGCTCTGCTTATGTCACTGCTCTGGTGCCTGTGTGGAGACTGCTAAGTAAAATAGCAGTCTCTGGAACCAAAGTCATTGGTGCTTTGACAGTTGAACTGGGGTGGTTACTAAGTGACTGGCAGCATTTGCATTGTGGATGTACTAGGTAAAGGAATGGGGTAAGGTGGCACAAGATTTCATCACGGTAGAGCAGTACACAATTCAAAGCATGAATTATAGTGACTGGTGGTGCAAACATTTTTCCAGCACTTGGGAGGCGGAAGCAGGAGGGTCATAATTTCAGGGTCATCCTTGGCCACACACACACAGAGTTCCAAGCCAGCTTGGGCTACATGAAACAGATTCTTGATAGCTCTGACCGGCCTTGAACTTGTGGCCGTCCTCTTGCTTCAGCCTCCTAACTGCTGAGATTATAGGCATGAGCCTTACTACTCGTCCAGGATTTGGACTGCAGCTCACTGAATGACCTAGAAAGCAAGACTGCCAATGAGGAGGGATATGTTCCATACTGACATGGACTAGTTGGGAGAAACTTAGACTTGGAAAAACATTATCCTGGTATTTGCCATGCATCTCCTCCTGATTCTTTGGCTAAAACTAAGAATCTGCCTTTTATTGTTTTGTTTAACTTAGGGTTTGAGCTTCTTGGAAGTGAAAGACCAGTTGTTGCTCATGTACCTTATGGATCTGAGCCACCTCATCCTGGACAAAGCTTCAGGAGGATCTCTGCAGGGACACCCTGCAGTTTTGAGGCTGGTGGAAATCCGCACGGTATGAGACCTTTGCATATTGGAGTCTTGTTTCTAAGCCCTGCACTCCAGGGCTAGCACAGTAACTCTCACATAAAGGAGTGTTCTGTTTAAGTAAGGAAAGGGCAATTTTGTCTGCATTTGCTCTATTTTGTGAATGTTTTCATTGCCTTATCTGGAACAACAAATGGATCCTGGTGTGTACCTGATTTAGGGAAGAAAATGTAATCCTTATGAATTACCACATTGTAGGTTTTAGAAAAACTTCGTCCCTTGGACCAAAAACTGAAGTATCAAATTGACAAGCTGGTCAAGACTGCGGTGACAGGCAACCTCAGTAAGTGGCGGACCATCATCAAGTTGTGGGATCATTATACAGTTCCAGATCTTATAAACTCTCTTCCTGTTTCAGGTGAAAATGACCCGCTTCGTTTTAAGCCCCATCCCAGCAATATGATAAGCAAGGTAAGGTTTGTGTCCACCGAGATTAATCCTATGGTGACCCTGGTCTTCCAGGACTTTCCAGACTGGCTTGAAATGCTTCAGTATGAGGCTTCCTTTCCCATATTCATGGTTCCATCTTCTTAGGGTGCTGTGAGTTTTTCTTCTCATTTCCTGAGTTTGCAGGAATCAGGAATGTTTTTCTTCTTCTTTTGTAGTTGAGCTCTGAGGACGAAGAGGAAGATGAAGCAGAGGAGGGCCAGTCTGAGGCTTCAGGGAAGAAATCTGTAAAGGGAGCGGCTAAGAAATACATCCCACCACGCTTGGTTCCAGTGCACTATGGTATGAGTTGTGGCCTCCTTGGTGGGAGTTTTGTTTGTTTCTTGTGTTGATTCCAGATTAACCCCTGTGGACTTTATCACATAGATGAGACAGAAGCTGAGCGTGAGCAGAAGCGCCTGGACCGCGCCAAGAAACGAGCCCTGAGCAGCTCTGTCATCCGTGAGCTTAAGGAGCAGTACTCAGATGCCCCAGAGGAAATCCGTGATGCCCGGCACCCTCATGCCACTCGCCAGAGTCAGGAGGATCAGCATAGGTCTGAGTTCTTGCAATTAGGGGTTCTTTCAAGTCTGGCACAGGAAAACCGACATTATCTAGAAAGTGGAATGAAAAGCTTGGGGTGATAGTTCAAGACTGATGACTTTGAAGTACAGATGAGAGCTAGGGGAAAAAGTTGTTGTTTTTTTTTGTTTGTTTTAATTATTAAAATTGTTTTGTTTTCTTCTGTCTGCTTAGGCTCAAACAAAAGCTATATAGAGAAGAATGCATTCAGTTCTTCATGAGGGGCTTTAATAGGCCACCTTTCATTACCAAGTCACAGTTCTTATTTTGGGATAGAAAGCAGTAAAGACAGGTTTTGTGTTGGTACTGAAGAGTCTTCTGTACGTTCGGGAAAACAATAGAAAACAGCCAACCTGAACACAGGCTTGTCAGCTTTGCGTAGGTTCAGTCTTTGTAGCTGATGGTTTGTACGAAAGAGCCCGTTCAGAGAGTCCTGGTTCCCAGAGCCGGAAGGGTGGGAGGCTTTTCTCTTAGACATGCGAAGTCTTTGTGTGGTTGGCCCATATATTCATCCCTAGGGAAGAGGGAGGAGCAGTGAGGAGGTTTGGGAATGACATGCCACATTCGCATCCTTAGCTAAATACTGCATGATCTGTGACTGAGGGTGAGTAAACACTGGGGCCCGAGTCACCCTAGTCTGAGCCTCTGGAAACTCTTCTGGCAGGATTAACTATGAAGAGAGCATGATGGTGCGCTTAAGTGTTAGCAAGCGAGAGAAGGGACGGCGGAAGCGAGCCAGCGTTATGTCCTCCCAGCTCCACTCCCTCACACACTTCAGCGACATCAGTGCTTTGACAGGAGGAGCCCCCCATCTTGACGAGGTGAGACTGGGGTGCAGTGGTGGCAGGCAGCTGTTGTGCTTTTAGCCACACATGTGGGGCTGTGCACAGTGAGCCTGAGAAGGTTGCTGGTGCTCAGAAGTGCACAGCCATTTCTTCTGTTTGTCTCCAGGACCAGAACCCTGTTAAAAAGCGGAGGAAGGTACCTAAGAAAGGCCGGAAGAAGAAAGGTCAGTGAGCCACAGCAGTTAGGTGCCCAGGTGGAAAGTCTGAGTTGGAATTGCATGTTTCCTCCATTCTCTTCATTAATCTCTTTAGATAGACTTTTCTTTCTTTATTTTTCCCAAGCCTGAAATCAGCGTCATTCACAAGGGAGTCTCTGGACTAGACTTGTGTATAATCACGGTCAGGTGTCTGTAAATAGATTATAAAAACGTCAGCTGAAGGGACTGTTCTCTGTACCTGTTCCTTCTTCTGTGAGTCCTAGATGGAGGGAGTACTGCCTCAGCCATGCCTCCGTGAGCTCTTCTCCAAATGCCCCTTTCCTGCTTTCTGTGGTTCCAGCCGGCCTTTGCCTTATTCTTGGTTTCCTTTCGTTTCAGGTTTTCGGAGGCGCCGGTGATGTACACTTTGTCATCCTGGAGTCTATTGTCACTGTATGTGGCTATTTTCCTTGGGCCTGCTGGCCTTGGAAATGTGGAAAGATCTTTACTAAATAAAACTGCTTTTGCTTATGAATGAAAGCCCTTTTTGCCATTCGTAGTCTGACTGGAATTGCTGGGTGTATGGGTGAGTTCAGTGAGTGATGGTGGAAAAGGAAAGATGATATTCTGGGCAGTGTTTGAGAAGTTTGTTTTGTTTTCTTTGGTAGTACATTTCCTCTAGAAATTTGGAATTGATTATTTTACAAAAATAGAGGTAGAATAGTAGAATCAGCCTCCATAACCCTGTCATCCCACCCTCCTGCATGGTTTGATAAGTCTAGAATTCTAAGCTAACATTGGATTTAGGTTTTGTTGATCTATCCAGCTTGGCCACCAGGTGGCATTAGTGACTCAGGAAACCTGTGGTTGCTTAATAAACTTAAAAAAGCCAGGTAGGCTGGTTCTGCATCAGCAAGTTCTACTTGTCCCCATTTTTCTGAATGCTTTTCTTTCTAAAATGTCATGCTTGTAAGAGCTGATCTTTGGTCAGTTCTGGAAAGAATTTGTAAAGAGTAGCTGAAGTGATAGATGAAGAGTTGGTGTAGTCTTGTGGTCTAGCCTCTGTCTCTCCTTCCAGCTGAGACCCCAGTTTACCTGGGTCAGGAAAGTCCAGCCCTTTTAAAAGCTCTGCAAAAGAATGTCAGCAAATAGGGGACAAAAAAATCCCTGGTGTGACAGCTAGAGGAATGAATAGTCTACAGGAACTGGAGCCGGAGCCAAACCCAACTCGGGATTCTGATCTGAGCCCTCGTTCTGTGTGGGGAATAACCTCTGTTGGTGAGCGCTTCCGTAAACCTTGAGTGCTGTAAGCAAACGGTTAAATGAGAAGAGGGGCTGTGGATGTAATGCACTGGAACATCTGATGTTAGTGTCTGGCTCTCCTGACAGGTGACAAGGGTAGGAAGGGAATTTGGGTCATTACATCACTAAAACTTCATTGATTCTGAATTTGGATTTCTTTTTTTAATTTATTTTTTATTTTTAAGACAGGGTTTCTGTGTGTAGCCTTGGCTGTTCTAGAACCCACTGACCAGGCTGGGCTCTCTGCCTCCTGAGTGCTGGGATTAAAGGCATGTGCCACCACTACCTGACTTGAGTTCGGATTTCTACTGGTCATCCTGATTGAGGCAAGAATCAGTCAACTACAACTTGTAGAAATTAAAAGACTAGATTTATGGTTGCTCTACTAGATCATGGTCATATGACTTAATATCTTGGTCTTTTAATTTTCCTCAGCTGGTAACATAAGTATGCTTGAGTCCTAGGGCTATACCTCAATGGTAAAGGACTTATATTGAAGAGGCCGTAGGTTCAGCCTCCAGTATTGGCGTGGGGGAAGGGAACTGGGGGGGGGGATGGCTCATTGGGTAAGACTCCATGCTCTGTGAGCATGAACTTGACTTTTAAGTCCCCACACCCACAAAAAAATGTCAGGATTAGGGGCTGGCAAGCAGGCTCAGTGGGCAAAGGTTCCTAACAACCTGAATTTTATCCCTGAGGCCCTGAGGAGAACTGATTCCTGAAAATGTTCCTTTGAGCTTCACATGCCTGTGTCCCCTTCCCACAGGATTTCAAAAAAGTAATAAAAACAAGTTAAGCATGGCTATACACACCAGTAACCTCCCCGGCATTCTGGCGGGCAGAAGTGGGAGGATGGGTGAGGCTTGCTGGCTGCCAGCGTGGCTCCAGGTTCAGTGAGAGACTTCCAAGAAATAATGTGGAATGGGATAGAGCAGAACAGAGCACGCACATCTTTGGCCTCTGGCGTGCACACCTGCACATGTGTGTGGGCGTACACATTAACATACAAACAACTAACAGTATACCTGGATCTCTGAAGATTCCTTCTGTATCAAGGAGTCTTGAGTTTTTGTGGATTACTCCAGGATGGGCTTGCTTCTGGGGCATCTTAGCTCCTGGTAAATCTGAGGGATCCTGTGTGTCCCAAGACCTTACACTAATATTTACTCAAGTGAGTCTAAGCAAAAAGCTGTAGCAACGGGTTTAGAGCTTGTGCCTTGCCAGCGGAACCACCTCGACGAGTTAGCTAAGGTACCCTTTGGAAGCTAGATGATGTGGCACAGGCCTGTCAGGGAGGAGGCCGGAGCAGGAGGAATGCCTGCACTACATAGTGAGTTCAAAGCCAGCCTGGGACGCAGTCAGACCCTGGCTTCTACTCAGAGCTGGGGCTGTAGCTCTGCGGTAGAGCACTTGCTTAGCATAATTCAAGACCCTGTTTCATCCTAGTGCCATGGGGTATGGGGGATAAACAAAGGTGCTTTGGTCAGAGCCGTCACATTCACCTGATACAAACTCTAATTTTGCACTTTTGAGACAGAATCTCAAAATAGGCTGTGTTGGTCTTGATTTTATTACTTGATGAGGACGACCTTGAGCTGTTGATCTCCTTGCCTCCGCCTCCTAAGCGATGGGATTATAGGCAGGCATCACCATGCTTGGCTGCTGTTTCTAATTTATTAAAATGTAAGATTACTTATTGCCCCGTTTCTGCTAGAGGTCTTGCCTTCAGAGACTACAGTCTGTGTACTCTGGGCCTCCTTGGTATACCAGTAAACAGAAAAAACTTCGGCCTTTGTGGGCCTTGTAATTAATCTAAGTGAGTCTTTAGTTCAGGGTTTTTTATTTCTGGCCTTTTGGCACCACTAGAAAAAGACTTCCAACAATTATTAGCATTTTTTTCTGAGGATGTTTATATCAGCATCATTAATAGATTATATCATCTGACAGGATTTTATGTAGATTGTCAGTGTAAAACATGTAAGTGGGGTTACCTTTACTGAAGTAGGGAAGAGGCATCCTGGAGTTCCTTTTGGTTACAGCCTCCTTTCCCTGACCTCGTAGGAGCCCCAAGGAACCTTTAGTCCTCGTGGGATGGTTTGAGAGCCACTGTTAACATAGTAGAACAACAGAATTAAGGGTCTGGATTGCAAGGGTTAGGCCTGTTCTGTTGTTCACTTCTGTATTTCTGTTCAGGCCGAATTCTTTTCTTTTTTTAACCCGACAAGCTAATTTAGCTTCCCCTCAGTTTTTTCATCTTAGGGAATAGAGAAGAGAGTTTGACAAAATCCTTTATGAAGGCTTGGGAAATATCTATCAAAGATTCCCAAGAGTTTCTGGATCCCTTCTTTGGAAAAGGAACTTCGGCAAATGAGGAAGGGATGACCTGGTTGCCGCAGACCAGGTTTCAGCACCGTGGAGAGCTCAAGCTCCTGCAGTCCTCGTCTCTGGATGTGGAAGGCTGTGGAAGGCGCAAACAGACCCTTAGAGTGGCGTGGGGTGGACTTGGCCTTCGGCACCCAGTTTCTCTGTCATCTGCACTTCTAGCTGGGACAGACGGAATATGAGAGGACACAGTCTTGAGTGTCCCTGGGGTCTGTTGGCTCTGTGAATACCAGATCCCTGCCAAGGATTTGTCCAACGTGATGACGTTAGTGAAATACTCCCCTTCGCTCAGAGCTAACCTCACAGTCTTCTTACCGTTGCTTGAGGAAAATTCTACCCCTGCTTTTCCCACAGGTCCTGGAGGAGACCAGGTGGTTTTCATTCCTTGGCCTCCTTCCTGCCTGTGCATGCAGAAAGGCATGGCGCTGGCTCCCTGCCCAGCCTTGCTTTTGTGTTCCTTTGATCTCATTGTTCAGAGGGTCTCCGAGAAGCCCCGAGAGCCATGCCTTTGCATGTTTAAGCTATTGATGCCCTGTAAGAAGTGTATTAAAGGCCCATCTTGAACAAATTCGGGTCAATAGGTGGCAGTAGTCACTGAGTCCTGAGGTCCTGACACCCCTAAACACAAGCAAATTTGATAGCGCTTATAGTTAAGGATGTGATAAAGGAAGTCACGTTGAAATAAAAATGGAGAGAAAATCGGTCCCTTTCGGTGGGATCCAGGAAATGCTGAATTGTGCTAGATGACTTCTGAGGAGTGTTGAATGGGGAGAGATTGAATCAGCTAGTAAAGGGCACTGGTAGGAAAGGCTTGAGCGTTGGGGTTCGGGGAGCAGATCTAAAATGTGGGTGTTTGGATTTCTTCCTGCTGGGATAAGGCTGTGTTAAGTGAGGACCAGAACAGAAAGGATAGAGTAGTGTGGGGAATCAGAGAAGGGGGGAGGTGGGCGGGGGAGAGCTGTGTGAAGGGACGGTGGAAAGGGTGGGCTGTGGAGGACTGCAGTGGGAGGGGGAGGGGAGGCTGCTGCAGTATGGAATCTGTAATGGGGGAGGGGAGGGGAAGATATTGGTCTTTGCTGCAGCTGCATTGGTTCCCCTCCCCCACCCTTCCCAAGGAGCCAGAGCAGTGCTGGCAAATCTGTCTTCATGTATTTATTATTATTAAAAATGTGACGGATCCTTTCTCGCTGGAAGTACAACAGACTCTGCTGATCCCCTCCCCTCCCCCTCCCTCTGCACAGTTTCTGCATCTTCTCCCATTTCTCCCTGTCCTCCACCTCGGTTTTCCTGACTGGTGGGTGGGTGGGGGGACCCTTCCTTTCCTCTCCTCAGCTTGGTGGCTCCCTGGGGCTTTCTAATGGTGGTTGAGAGCTTCAAGGCAATACTGGAGTTGGGGGGTGGGCAGCTGAATGAGGGTCATCCACTGCCCCAGGGAGGGAGCTGTATTCTTCACTGTCCAGTGAGGAAAGGAAATTACTTGGCAATACAGATAAAATCCTGGACCAGCCAGTGAAAGGAGAATCGGACACATTTTTTTTTTTTCATGGCTGGTATCTTACCCCTTTTAGACCTTTCTCTTTTCTACTACCTGCATTCTGAGAGGGAAATCTCCCTGGGACGAGGAAATCAGTTCTCTCCTTCCCTCGGTCTCCTCCTCAAGCCTCGCTTCCCACAAGAGGCTTCCCTCTTCCCACCGCCCCCAGACTCCGCCGTCCAGGTAGGGCCTCTTTGTTGCTCTCTGTCACCCTTCCCCATACCCATAGGTGGTGCTACTGTTGCCCCACAGGCAAGGCCCTCCTCCCCAGGACCCTCCCTTCCACCAGCGGGCCCCCCCCTCCCAGCCCTCCTCTGCCTGA